CTCCTGTGGCGCAATGGGTCAGTGCATCTGGCTGTTAACCAGAGGGTTGGCGGTTCGAGCCCACCCAGAGAGAACTGTAGGCAGGTTTCCTGCATTGCAGGGGATTGGACGAGATGACACTCAGGGTCCCTTCCAACTCCACGATTCTGTGATTCTCCATACATACAAAACCATATAAAGGGATGAAATTAAGAAGCAAAGACACGCAACTTTGAAAATTCTTATTTTCTTGAATAGATCCTTGAATAGATTCTCTCTTCCCTTTTTGGGTGAGGCAACCAGAACAATACACAGAATTGCTGCTGTTCTAAGCCTGGCAGAGGGAAAACAAGCCTTTGAAATGGTGTTCTAGGCTGGGTTGTCAGGCCACGTGACCGAGCTGAATAGGCTTAGGATCCAGCTAAAGTCACCCTCTCTGGCCCTGCACCTCCACACTGCTGGACTGCCTATGTTCTGGTTCAGCCTGCTGAGCCCTAGCTAAGCTGGGGTGAGGAATCTATGCTGAATCTGCAGCAGAACCAGTGTTAGGAGCTTAACACCAGCTGAGCTCAACTGAGTCGTGAACCTGCTCAGCTGAAGATTACCGTAACTGCAGCTCTGAATTTTTTAGGGGGGAGGGTTGTGAGTGGCTCCCCTGCACAGGGCGCTGAGCTGCAGGGGTGAAAAATAGAGAAGATCCATAATTGAGATGATCCATTTGGGGGTGCCAATTTTTGGCCTTGCACAGGGTGCCATATTACCAGAGATGACCAAATTCCGCCCTGTTCATTGCATCCTAAGCTGCTTGTGGCAGGAGATCTTCCCATAGGATTGCCCTGTTGGAGGGCTTTTGGGGTAGCAATCGACTAGTAAGTTTAATACATGAATAGGATACTCCCTTGTTTTGGGTGGTTTGTCTGTGTGTGTGTTTTTTTTAAAAAAAATCAAATGGATTATTGACTTGGGCAATTCCCTGAACATTTCCCTCTTCCCACGTTGTGGGCTTCTCCTTCATCTCCTTTGTGAAACGTTTTTTTAAAAAAATCATTGATAGCCCTTAACATCTTTAAAACTACTTGACTGAGTAAAACCTGTTTCCCCCAATGTTTTCTTCTGTACCCCCAATGTTTTATTCTGCAAATAAGCTGTGTGCTCATTTTATGTCTCTCAAGCAGAATACAAAACGGGGGGGAAAGCAGCTGTTCTGAGCTCCATGAGCACATGTAAATCATATTTTAAAAAACAACAAACTAACTTATTATTAAGTATTTTTTTCCTGAGCAAACTATAGGCAATCCTACAGGGCCCCAATCCTTTCCCAGTTGTCAAGAAAGGTAGACATTTAAATGCACAGGAGCCAGTTAGAACAATTGCTGGATGCAACGTGGTATAACCTCTCCGCAAACAATCTTAAGAAATGCTTGGGGAACTTTGCCCAAGCAAATCAGGATAAATGCTCAGTGATAGTGACCTTAGTTGCATGAGGAAATGAAGGAGGGTCGCAACCACTTCTCCTCCCTACAAAATGAGGATCAGGCCATTGGAATGTATGAACCGGAACTAAGAGACTTGGTGGGGTAATGTTTCTATGTTACCATGCACAGAACTGGTTGGGATTTTAGAAGGGACTGAAGAAACAATCCTTCTTACGTGCTCATGGCTCACCCATGGCAGAATAACTACTCTAGTACATTGGGAAAACAAGCAGGTTGTTACAAAGAACCCATTAAGTCTCCATTGCACAGAAAACTGGCAGCATAAAAATGGGCTTCAGCGATCCATAATGCAGATAAGGGAAAATGCAGGACAATACAGTGGTGCCTCGCAAGACGAAAAGAATCCGTTCCGCGAGTCTCTTCGTCTTGCGGGTTTTTTCGTCTTGCGAAGCAAGCCCATTAGCAGTTTAGCGGATTAGTGCTACAGTATTAGCGGCTTAGCAGGCTTAGTGGATCAGCTGATAAGCGGCTTAACGATAAGCTGATAAGCGGCTTAGCAGGCTTAGTGGATCAGCTGATAAGCGGCTTAACGATAAGCTGATAAGCGGCTTAACGATCAGCTGATAAGCGGCTTACCATCAGCTGTTAAGCGGCTTAGCCATCAGCTGATAAGCGGTTTAGCGGCTTGGGAAAAAGGGAAAAAGGAAAAAAACCCTGCAGGAACTCGCAAGACATTTTCGTCTTGCGAAGCAAGCCCATAGGAAATTCGTTTTGCGAAGCACCTCCAAAACGGAAAACCCTTTCGTCTAGCGGGTTTTCCGTCTTGCGAGGCATTCGTCTTGCGGGGCACCACTGTATTTAGTGGAATCTATCTATCTGGGGACGCGGGTGGCGCTGTGGGTTAAACCACAGAGCCTAGGACTTGCCGATCAGAAGGTCGCGGTTCGAATCCCCGCGACGGGGTGAGCTCCTGTTGTTCGGTCCCTGCTCCTGCCAACCTAGCAGTTCAAAAGCACGTCAAAGTGCAAGTAGATAAATAGGTACCGCTCTGGCGGGAAGGTAAACGGCGTTTCCATGCGCTGCTCTGGTTCGCCAGAAGCGGCTTAGTCATGCTGGCCACATGACCTGGAAGCTGTATGCCGGCTCCCTCGGCCAATAAAGCGAGATGAGCGCCGCAACCCCAGAGTCGGTCACGACTGGACCTAATGGTCAGGGGTCCCTTTACCTTTATATCTATCTATCTATCTATCTATCTATCTATCTATCTATCTATGGCAAAATTACGCCTTTATGTCAGCCAGATCAATTGCTTGTCACCTATATGGTCAGCCTGTTTTAGGTGAACTTAGAAATGGGAAGGGGATTTGCAGATGAAACCACTGGATTTGCATTGCACCACACTTTGCAGAAATTTGACCCATCACTGATATATGTGTGTGTGTTTTAAACTGTGCTCCCTATTAAGGTTCCTTTCAGAGTGATTGTTCAGTTATTTCATAGCCGAGTCAGTGTGGTACCTGGTAGAGCAATTAGACCAGGAGTATTGCTAACCGAATATCTGATCGTTCTTTATTGTGTGGCCTTGACTGACTCACTTAATTTCTCCATCTCTTTTCCGCTGCCTGTAAAAGAGGGATAATTACCCACTGTGCAGGGTTGTTTTAAGGATGAATGAGCTAACATTCTCTGCTTCAAGAGGAAATCTATTCTATAAACGGTGAAGACTAGTCGTATTAATTCCAAGGCAAAGCCCTCTATTGAGTTAATGGAACTATCTGTTATCGTGAAATCATTTCTTCCAACCCTGGGGTTATTGATGAAAGCTGTACATTTTTCAGGAGTCAGTTTTTCTGCAGGAGCAAGAATGAGAATCCACCACTACATGAAGGAGTGAGTGAGTCCCTCTTTATCTGTCAGAAGCCTGGAAATGGCATTATAGCCCTTGTATGAGAACCAGGGACCCGAGTGAAGGTGGGACTGATCTGCTTTGTAGTCAGAAGCATTTGTGGGCCACCAGACTTGGTCTTGGAGTGATCTTCTTTCTGCTAACCTGACTGTCTCAGACCCCCAAATTAAGACCTCAGTCTCCATGACCTAGAAAAAGATTTCGTGCTCACCCCAATATCAAATACATAAAATACAAGTAAACCATACGAACATCTACCTGCTTTGTAAACACAAGCAAGGGCAACCCAGAAAGCCAAAGACCTTGACCTGCAAGTCTACGGGTGCCCCGTGATGACGTGAGCTCCCGCTGCTCTGTCCCAGCTCCTGCCAACCTGGCAGTTCGAAAGCACACCAGTGCAAGTAGATTAAGAGGTACCACTGTGGTGGGAAGGTAAATGGCGTTTCTGTGCGCTTTGGCTTCCATCATGGTGTTCTGTTGCACCAGAAGCAGTTTAGTCATGTTGGCCACATGCCCTGGAAGGCTGTGTGTGGACAACGCCAGCTCCCTCAGCCTGAAAGTGAGATGAGAGCCGCAACCCCGTAGTCACCTTTGACTGGTCTTAACCGTCCAGGGTTTACCCTTTACCTTACTGGAAACCTATATTTATTGTTCTTCACATACCCTCCAACATTTCTCCAATGAAAATAGGGATGTCCTATTTCATCATCAACAACATCTTTATTATTTATACCCTGCCCATTTGACTGGGCTGCCCCAGCCACTCTGGGCAGCTTCCAATATAAGAAAGCATGAAACGTTTTTTTTAAACTCCGACAAAAATAGGGACGTCAGAAGGAAAAGCAGGACATTCCAGGATCAAATCAGAAACCGGGACGGCCCTATTTCCTTTGGAGAAATGCTGGAAGGTATGGAGTTATCAGCCACCAACCCATCTGAAGGCAGCCCTGTATAGGGAATTTAAAAAAATGTTTAATGATTTATTATGTTTTTACAGTATATATGTTGGAAGCTGTCCAGAGTGGCTGGGACAACCCCGTCAGATGGGTGTGTGTGAATAATAATAATAATAATAATAATAATATAGGACGTCCCAATTTTCATTAGAGAAATGCTGCAAGGGTTCTCTTTGTTAGGTTTCTGTTATGCCACTGTGCAGTTCTTGGAGTCACAAGACTCTGTTGACATTCCAGACAGTTGGAAGTCTCATGGGAGACGGGAGACAGATGTTGAAGTTACTGGTTTCCTGTTTCTGTGTCCTGTTGTTTTCTGTCTCTCGCAGAGAGCAGACTCATATTCTTTTCTGTCTTGCATAGTTAGAAATAAAATAGCAATGTAGCACATATTTCTGGCTCCTTCTGCTGATGTCTGAGTACTCTGCGCAATGGACAGCGTGCCTGAAGTCTCATTCAAAGGCTTAGGTCATTAATCACTGTCGGAAGAGTGCCTGGATAAGGTTCCGAAGATATGGCCGGAAGAGTAGCCATTACAGCTCGGTCGTAGGAGGCTCCGACACACTTTCAGATGTCGATAGTACAGTAATGTTAAGTAAACATCGCAGAACAACTACTAAAGCGGAATGATGTGTGGATGTTCCAGTATAAATCCATCACTATTTCACTATTATTGCATTGGCAACATGTTACAGGATACACCTGTAAAACAACTACCAACCTCTTGATAGCTCAGTCGGTAGAGCATGAGATTCTTAATCTAAGGGTTGCGGGTTCGAGACCCACGTTGAGCAAAAAAATATTCCTGCAATGCAGGGAGTTACGCTAGATCAGCCACGTGGTCCCACCTAACTCAATAATTCTAGGATTCTACGACGGCCGAAGGGAGACATTTGTCATGCAAATGATCATTCTGACCAGTATAGTTTCCTCCTCCCCATCCCCAGCCCTTCACATTCCGAACCAACTGAAGATGTGAAGGTGAAAACACTCGTAAGGATCAGCGCATAAAACAAAAGCAGCCGGCAATGCAGTGATTAATTTAACTGTAAGGCATCGGTTCAAAGGGAGACACCACAAATGGAGTGAGGTTCTTGACCTGCTGATGTGCCGTGGATAACCTCATCAAGATGCTGGCACTAATTTTTCCCCGGGGAGCCAAAGAACCATCATCATCTGCCCCGATTTGCACAGCTAAAGGCATCTAGAGGAAATTAATTAGTCCCACCGGTACTCTCTAAGGAATTTGAATTAAGGGAGTTTCAGGGTGGCAACTGGTCATGTAAGAGCAGAGGGAGAAGGAAGCAGCATTAACACACTCAGCAAATGGCGTTCGAGAAACGCCGTAAATCAGGAGTGAGGAACCAACGGCTCTCCAGATGTTGCTCAGTTGCAATTTTCATCTTGCCCACAAGCCATGCTTGCTAGGTTCAATGCCTTCATTTCCTTCCACCGCCCGCTTTACCTGTTCCTTCCTTCTTCCTTTGGTATGTTATGCATCTCTTCTGGAGAATGTTTCATTGTTTGTGTTGCAATTTATACTACTTAGTTAGGCCCCAGCAGATTGAGCGGACGAGACCAATATTGGGTCCAACAGTCGAGAAGGCGGTTTCTGCCCATGCTGCAAAGGGCGACAGGTGAGGGCCATCCACCTGGGAAGGTAGCCTATCTAGGAGAAGCAGAAACTCTGATCCTGAACCTCTACTGCCTTGGGAGGTTCATCAGAAGGAAAGGCTAAGGAGTAAACCCTACACAAATCCGGAGGGGACAGTTGGATAGTGCCTTGTACGCCTCCTTCTGGCAATTCCTGCAGCCAAGCTGGTGCCAAATGTATCTGCTTCCCTTTGGACCACATCAGTGAGGCTGAGAGGAGCGTAGCAGCCACCGTGATCCCTCAAGCTCCCCTGCCACCCCCAATCCCTGGTGCCACCATGCTGCAGTACAGACCCCCATGGCACCCTACAAGCCACCCCCCACGGTTTGACTTCATCTCTGGAGGTGCACTCCATTGTCTCTCGAGACAGATGGATGCCAGCAACAGTTCTGTCTTTGCTTTAAATGCTATTAAAATGGTTGTTGTTGTTGTTGTTGTTTTGCTTTCTCCATCGTTAATTTAGGAACATAGAAAGAAAGGTTCTCTGTATTGAGCCAAACCATTGGTCCATCCAGATCAGGACTGTCTACACTGACTGGAAGTGACTCTCCTGGGTTTTTGATCGGCGCCTCTCCCAGCTACCACAGTTCCCCATAACTTCCTTTCCTTACAGATAATCAGGGGTGTGTGGGACCTATGCTGCATGAATGCCCTTTTCTTCACTTCTTCCTCTAATATTAATGTAATATAAGCCCATGCTTTAAGAGATTGTACCCTTCCCCCCTCTCTCTCTTTGTGTGTAATAGTTCTGAAAACTTTCTAAAAGCATGAGGGGGATCAATAATTGATAACATCACTTCTTAGTTAAATATAGGAGCATTTTCTGGGCCCCGGGAGAAGCACAGCGCCATATTTAAGCTAACTTGTAATTTCCATTATAATTTGCTCTGTCTTTGTAATGTGCAAAGAACTAACATTTCATCTCCACAGTTCATGAGCCAAAACATACACCCTTGGGTGTTTAATATTAACCCATCTTCTTCTACTCAAAAAGAGAGAGAGCTAGTAATGGGGATTTTGTTCCATTTTCTATGTTCCCCCGCCCCGAAGAATCCCTGGAATTGTAGTATGATGAGGGATACTGGCAGTTGTGTTGGAAATGCCCCCGTACACAGTAGTTCCCACAGGACCCTGGATAAAGGGTTTTCCCCTAGCCAGCCTTTTTACTGTGTATTCGTGACGTTTTGTGCTTAGGGTGGTATCAGGGCAGTTAAAACCGCTAGCTCATCTGCGAAGCTAAGCAGGGTGCGGTATGGTTTCAAACTGGATGGGGGACTCGCATGTTGAGATTCCTGCATTGCAGGTGGGTTGCACTAAGATGACGCTCGGGGTCCCTTCCATCTCTACATCTCTATGATTCTATGATTTCAATACTGTTTGTGCCTGCAAAAGTTTCGATGAGGAACGTCTGCCTAGTTTCAAATCAGTGCCTATTCTGTAACTTCCTACAGAAATCCCACGACTTTTCATATCTCAGTGCTCTCATTTTGTTGGTTGGTTCTGCCCCACTTTTGTGGTGCTATAGGCACACAGGAATTGGTGTTGCCTTCTTCTGAAAACTGTGTTGTTCATGCAGGCCTTGTTTAATTATTTGTAGCATTTATATCCATTCCTTTTCCTGCAAGGAACTCAAGGAAGTGTACCTGGTCCTCCTCCTCTTCATTTAACCCCCACAACAACCCTGTGAGGTAGATTAGGCTGTGAGACAATGACTGGCCCAAGGTCATCCAGTGAGCTTCATGGCCGAGTGGGGATTTGAACCCAAGTCTCCCAGGCCCTTGTCTTAACGCTATAACCACTGCACCACCCTGACTGTCTTTGCTCACCATCTGTCTTTGCAGTGTTGATTTCATTTTGCCAGCCACTATTTATTGAATTCTTTCTTATTCTTATTGAGAATTTGATGTATGCTGCCTTGCTGTATTCTGAAGAAAGTACAGTTCATAAAGATAATGCAAGAGTGCCCTTCATGTTGGCAATAATAATAATAATAATAATAATAATAATAATAATAATAATAATTTATTATTTATACCCCGCCCATCTGGCTGGGTTTCCCCAGCCACTCTGGGCGGCTTCCAACAAAACACTAAAATACAATAACCTATTAAACATTAAAAGCTTCCCTAAAAAGGGCTGCCTTCAGATGTCTTCTAAAAGTTTGGTAGTTATTTTTCCATAATAAGTAGTTATTTTTCAATAATACAGTAATGCTGGGGAAGCGTCACAGAACAACTAATAACATGGAATGATGTGTAGATGCTGCAATATGAATCCACCACAAATGCACAATTATTGCATCAGTGACGAGTGGCAGAATACACCTGCAAAACAAACAAACAACCCCGCCAGTCTGGAAGAACGCATGGAATGTCTATTAAATAAGTTTAGGCTTGTGACGTAGAAATACCCTGCGTATCACGAGAACCTTGTAGAATCTGTCGCTTTCCTCTTCCACAGGTGCAAATCCTCCACAGGGACCTTTCCCACCCCAAGTTTACTCTACCTGAGCAATTTAGAGACTGCACGCTAGCAAATTTTGGCAGATTGGCCTGAAAGGCGAGGGAGGCGATGTTCCGACGTCTTCCTGATGGCTTTTTCCTTTCACCTCAGCACTTTCCTTCAGGTGACAACGCCTCCCTCCAATTAAGGGATAAAGAAAAATCCAGAGCATTTGACCACGCTAGGCCGCCCAAGCCTGGCAAAGCAGGATTTGATGTGATTTGAAATTTGCTTTAATGTAGTCACATTCCAAGCCTCCCTTTAAGATTGATTCGGCCTCTCCGAATGAGAAGAGAGCCCCCGGCAAATTGCTTGGGAAGTCGAGTGTGACATCTCTCCGCGCTCCTCTGCACAGCTTTTAGTGACCCTCGTACGCCTGCCTAAACAAACAGGCCCATGTGCCAAGCCAGCTATTAGCACGCAGCGCACAGAGAGGTTGTGGCGGGGCGTCGAGCAGGTTCCAGAGATTTCCCAGGCGAGCGCTTTGCCATCTGAGCCGCTGCGGCAAAGCTCCGCTGGTTCGCCCGGACCAGGAGCGGATCCTTTCGCATCGTTGCCTGTGGCGCTCTTCAGAGGGAAGCTGGTCAGAAACAGGGAGACTGAAATCCCTAAGCCACTTCTCCAACCTTCTTCCTCAACCACAATTGTTTCAAAAGAGAGCTCGCATACCCTCAAAGCGCCCCTATTTTCCAGGGACAGTCCTGGAATTATGAAAGCCATCCTGGCTTCTGATTTGATCCCGGAATGGCCTTATTTCCCCTGCCAGTCCTGCCACTGGCAAGCTCAGGAAGAAGGATGTGCTGGCCCTTTGTCCCGAGTGGTGGCAGCTCTGAGGGAACATCCTGTTGCCTCTCAATGGCCTTTCCATAGCCACATTGCTTCTGGATGAGACCAAAGGCCTGTCTTGTCCTGTGGCCCAGCAGTTGCCCCACAGGAAAGCATACATGAAGGGCATGGACCCCACAACTTGTATTTAGGGGAATGCTGCCTCTCTGATAGTGGAAATGACCTACAACTTCTGTGCCTAGTAGCCAGTGTCAGCTGGTGCCGATTGAGACTGGTAGGGCAGAAAGAAGGGAGCCAAACGCTAGGTGGCGCCAGAGCAGGTGGCAGGCAGAATCAACTACTGTCTACAGTGGTACCTCAGGTTACAGACGCTTCAGGTACAGACGCTTCAGGTTACAGACTCCGCTAACCCAGAAATAGGATCTCGTGTTAAGAACTTTGCTTCAGGATGAGAACAGAAATTGCATGGCGGTGGCGCAGCGGCCTCAGGTACCTCAGGTTAAGAACAGTTTCAGGTTAAGAATGGACCTCCAGAATGAATTAAGTTCCTAACCTGAGGTACCACTATATTTCCAGTTCTGTCTATTCCCCTTTCAGAGCTCCACAGGGGCAAACTAGGAATGGAGGAGAAATTGGATTCAGCTCGCACCTAATTCGCACATGACAAAACAAGCCATCCTTTGAAATTCACCCTCCTGCAGCCTGAAGTGGTACGATCCAGGCACATGCTGTATCCTTGGCCTGCCAAAGACAGTCCCTAGCCAGTGTTTAGCATGAGCCATTAAAACAAAATGCTTCTCAAGGTCTCTTTTCAATGAACGTGTGAGCATGCAAGTGGTAGTAAAAGTGGCGAGAACACTGAAGCACCAGCAGTTGCTCCGAACCAGATTCCTAAGGGAATAATTTCAAGCCCTGCCTTGTAAGTCCTGGAAGAGTCCTTTCGTTTCTGCCTTTTGACAACCCTGTTCCACGTTCTCAAATTTTAAAAAATTTTTAAACTGCAATTTGATAATCTGCACATTCTCTAACCTCCTCTGCATGTGTTTTGTCCATATTCTAGAGGGAGGAAAGGGCTTATTGGAGACCACCCCCCAGTTCCCTCCCCAACCCCCTGTGTCATTTATTTCCTCTCCATGTTCCTCTGTTCTGCTCTGTGTGAGCCAGCAGCAATGTCAGTGAAATTGACTCACATTCCCATCACTGAAGCGTGGGCACAAAACACTTTGGAGACCTGGAAGGCTAGTTGGCCTCAGCAAGTTTTGCTGCTCTTGCACGCAGCGCTCAGCAAAAACAGCATGGCAAGAAAAGTGAGTGGGACAATATCATAGACTAGTTCGAAGGGACCCCAAGGGTCATCTAGTCCAACTCGCTGCAATGCAGGAATCTCAACTAAAGCATCCAGTGAAAGAGGCTGTTGTGTCTGGAGGGATGGAGAGCTGCGATCCAACTCTTGATTCCAGCAGGACACTTATCTCGAGGCTTGTTCATACGATACACTGAACACAGGTACAAGCTGTCTCTGTGCATGGACAGAGTGTTTGTGCGAAAGACTGCACACTCGTTGGTTTGTACTGCAGGGCACCCAGGTACACTCGTTGAATGTTACATGTGAATAATTTCATGATTGCGCACAGCTCAACTATTTGTGCACACAGACTGTACTCTCGTTGGATGCAGGGTGTGAAGATCAGGGCCGGCCCATCCATGAGGCAGACTGAGGAAGCCACCTCAGCAGATGCAGATTTGGGGCAGTGCGACTGGTTCTGCCACACTGGGTGTCGATACCTTAAGGTGCGTCTCCACCCCCATCTTTCTGCCCAGACACTGAGGTCCAGTGCCGAGGGCCTTCTGGTGGTTCCCTCACTGCGAGAAGCCAAGTTACAGGGAACCAGGAAGAGTGCCTTCTCGGTAGTGGCACCCGCCCTGTGGAACGCCCTCCCACCAGATGTCAAAGAGAAAAACAAATACCAGACTTTTAGAAGACATCTGAAGGCAGCCCTGTTTAGGGAAGTTTTAATGTTTAATAGACTATTGTATTTTAATATTCTGTTGAAAGCCGCCCAGAGTGGCTGGGGAAACCCAGCCAGATGGGCGGGGTATAAATAATAAATTGTTGTTGTTGTTGTTACTACTACTACTACTAACCTGGTGAACTGAGCAGAACAGAAGGCGAGAGATGGGGGCATCAAAATTTGATCTTGCACCGAAATTTGAAAGAGTGAAGTCTACCCCTGACCTCAGGTAGCAGGATTCACTCCATGAGAGTGCCCCTTCCCGCTGCTGCTGCCAGAAACGTGAGGAGAAGCAACTACGGAAGCTTCCGGTGAGATCTTTCAAGAGCCTCATGAGATTGTGCAGAGTCCTCTCATGAGATCTCGTTGGAACCCAAGTCAAAGCGAAGTGACCCCAGTAAGTGAAGCTTTGGCAAGGGTCAGCAAGACAAGTGGGAGACGCCTTCACGCTTCACCTCAGGTGGGAAAACAGGCGAGGCCACTCCAGCAAAGATCCAGGATGAAATCATTTGAGCCCTTTCACATTATGAAGAATGTATGGATGGACATGGGTGTGCATGTGTTCAGAAACTTTCACACATTTATAGATATGCGTATGAAGTCTCTTGAGATGTCAGGCATTGCAGAACATTAGAAGAAACTGGATGTATATTGAGATGTCAAGCATTACAGAACATTTGTAGCGGATGAGACCAAAGATTCGTTCTACTGCAGTATTCTGCCTCCTGCCTTGGAAAACAGTTGGCACCAGTTCTGGGTAGTTTGTAGTTTCAAAAAGGTTGACATTTGTTACTGCCTTGTGGATTCTCAATGCAGGCCTTGAATCCACTTGAAAATGTAACCTGAAACAACTCTAAACAGAGTACTAGGTGTAAAAAGAGGACAAATCAATATAGCTGCTCTTTCCTGTTGCAGTATGGTGCATTGGCTAGCAGGTACAAAACTTTAGTATCGATATGAAAAATACCTGTCATTTCCTTTAAAAATGGAACACCAGAAAGCTTTTAGTTGCTTCTGTTTTGAAAAGCTGCTGTGTCCAATAGTTCAGCGGGGGACATTTTGGAACATACCAGTCCCAAGGCATATTTAAGGGTGGATGGAGACGTAGTCATGCTCAGTTTAAGTATATAGAGGGGCAAACGCTCCAATTCTGCTCCAAAATATATTGGCTTGGATCCAGACTAAGTCATCAGCAGTGTAGACTCAATGGGACTTAAGTTAGTCCCATACTAGCAGGCCTCATTGATTTCAGTGGTTCTCTTGTAAGCATGTATAGGGATGGATCTACACAAAGGAAAAGCCCCAGTATAAATAAGTCAGAAATTAGATCGTTATAACAAACAAACAAACAAACAAACAAACATCCTATGGAAAATTGCGTATAAAAATTTCCTGCTCTCTGCTGCCACCTGGTGCTGCATGTTTATACCACATTCAAATCATTGTTTCTTTGCTAATGTAGCTGAGTCCTAAGTCTGCATCCAACTCCATATATTTGCAAGGCTGCAGCAAAAATTTTATATTATTGAATAGTTCTGAACTCTAACATCAGAATAAAGTTAGCAAACACTATTTAGGGTTCTTTCAAAAATGAATTTTGAAACGAAAAAGAAAAACCAAGGAGCTAATTGCTATGCAACCCTTAAAGATCGCTCCTTTTTTTGCTATTAAGGCTTCCAATTCCAGACAGTCTCAGGAAATGATGTTTGGAGTCCACTCCAGTTAACTGTCGTCATGGAGATTCCAAGTTTGAAGCTATAAACTTAGTCTGACATGCGTTTCTTCTATAATTACTGTTTCTGTACAGAGGCTTAATATAAAGCTTTGTCGTGCACATTTTTATATGGCGTTTTGAATGTATTTGATTTCGTTTGCTTTGGCCATGATATGATCTGCAGACTAATTCAATAAATTCCATTCAGTACGATACAAGTGATTCTTCCCCCCCCCCCTTCATTTCATTTTGTGGGGGCCAGTTTGCAGCATTCAAATGCTTACTGTGCGATTTTTGAATCCTTGCTCCCGAGTACTCAGAAAAACAAGCTGCCAGGACTCGTGGGGGCAAATGTTTTGGACAGCATCCACAATAGTTTACTGAGCTCAAAGTGGGAAATAGAAATTCTAGGCCAGAAGCAGGAAAACTCAGGCCCAGGGCCCTAAATGTAGCCCTGAAGTCTTCATTATCTTGCCCTCTGGACTCTCCCTGGGCCATGTTCTTCTTCCAGTGAATCCTGATCCACACCCTCCTTGAGAACGTGTCTTTGAACTTATGGTGCCTCTCAGTTTGCCTGGATGGAGAGAGCTTTCTGTATGGGAGCTGGAAGGTGCCATTTTGGCTCCCCAGTCCCTAAGCTAAGTAGCTATTGGTGAAACCCTGCATGTCGCTAATACCCCTTTAAATCTGTCCCAGCCAAGCTCAATAACGTAACTTGTGGCAGCAAATCCCATAAATCGATGGCATGTTTTGTGAATCCGAGTGCATACACAGATAGAGGGATGGCTCCAGACATATTCATGCTTGGAACAGATCCATTGAACTCAGTTGGGCTTTGCTTACCCCTGACTTGCTTAAGTCCCATTGAGCCAGCAGGAAACCAAACTGAGCAAGCTGACGTTAACTCTTTCTTAGCAGAAACAGGATCTGCCCAGCAGTGTCAGGCCTAGTGAGCACAGCAACTCATCTCTGGCAGGTCTTGCCCAAATGAAGCAGTTGTGGAGGCTGAAGGTCTTCACCTCTCCACAGCCATCTAAGTCCCCTCCTTTCCAAAGTTTTTCCCAAGCAATCTGAGACTGTGCCTGTTAAGTTGTGGGTGAACATATCAGACGACACAGCGATTCTCCAAACAGCTCTTGTTTATTCACAGGTCAGAACAGAACTGAACTGAAGAACTCAGTCAGCCTGCTTATATAGAGCTCCAGTCTATATTTATACCTATAAATAACTATAGTTATTTATACCCCACCCTCCCTAGCCAAGACCAGGCTCAGGGCAGCTAACACCAGCTATAAAAACAATTGATTGAAATACAACTTAAAAACAAAATTAAAATACAACATTAAAATTCAGCCTCATTTCAGTAGAAACTCAAATAAAAAACTTTTGAGGGGATGAAAACATCAAATCTTCACCAAGGCCAACTATCCAGACTGGTCCTACGTGGGCCAGAAAAAAAGCCAGGGAAGTCCCCAAATTGGAGTTCCATCAGAGAAGGAGAAGGGAAAAAGGAAAGATGGGGAGGGGATCAAGTTGATTCCAAGCCAAAGGCCAGGCGGAACAGCTCTGTCTTACAGGCCCTGCTGAAAGAAATCAGATCCTGCAGGGCCCTGGTCTCATGAGGCAGAGCGTTCCACCAGGCCGGAGCCAGTGTTGAAAAGGCCCTGGCTCTGGTTGAGGCTAATCTGACTTCCTTAGGGCCAGGACCTCTAGGGTGTTGCTATTTATGGTCCTTAAGGTCCTCCGTGGGGCATACGGGAGAGGCGGTCCCGTAGGTATGAGGGTCCTAGGTCCTGATTACCTCTTCAGCTTCCAACACCTCCTCTCCCAGTGTTCTCTCTCTCCATCATCCCACCATCACACCCTGGGCTCTGAATCTTCTTCACTTGGGGGTTCCCCAGCTGGTTTGTCCCACCATTCTTCTGCGTCCAACCAGTCCATGAAACAAACACACACGCGTATCAAATATTTAAAACAATGAGATATATTTATCTAGTCCCAAGTAGGCAAGGGCTGTAGCTCAGTAGCAGATCATCTGCTTTGCATGCAAAAGGTCATGGGTTTGAACCCCAGCACATCTCCAGGTAAGGAAAGACTTCCTGTCTGAAACACTGGAGAGCCACTTCCGGTCAGGGTAGGCGCTGCTGAGCTCTGTCTAGGTGGACCAAAGTCCTGACTCAGTATAAGGCAGCTGTTTATGTCCCTGTGCTTCTCATTAGGGCAGACACACCTGATGCTAAAAAGTGCTAGAGGTTATTTCCAGAAAGCTAGGGGTCCATGCTACCATTACCGTCTCCACCTCTCAACGCAGCCTCCCACTGTACGGTGTTGACTGCGCGATACTTCACTCCAGACTTGATAGCACCCTTCAAGGGGCTTGCTAGGCACCAATTGCCTACTCCCACTGAGGCTCACACATAATGAATGGCTCCTTTAGGGCTCTGGCGTGCTGAGCATGTTCTGCTGATTCCTTTGGCTGGTTTGATTGAAACAGTGTGACTCCTTTTCTCAGGCTGAAGGGAGAGCGATGCTCAGGAGGCTCTTGGGAAAGCGAGAGATCCAGCGAAGAAAACAACGAAGCAGGCAGGAAAATGTAACAGCAGAGCCAAAGATTTTTAAAAAGAAGGTTTTAAACAAAAATACAAAATGAAAGTTAGGAAGGCACATGCTCAGATTATAGGGCACGTTATGCCAGGAAATCCAGAAGAAATTGGGATGGTGGGAGGTTTCCCCATGACGATAATTCACCCGGAATGAGCTGTGTTTAAACAAGGCCATGTAAAAATTCATAGCATTGGCACGTGCTCTTCAAGATGCGCTTAGTTAGCTCTCTTTCAAGAACATACAGTTTGGTTCAGGGCTCACATGGCGACGAGTCTATTAAGCTGGACAACATGCTTGCTGACATGCTGTGATGATAATGGGAAAGGAAGCACAAAGCAAAGTCGTGTCTCTTTCTAGAAAACAGTGGCTGGAGGAGGTGCATATGCTGCAGACGTGGTAGAGTCCTGAATGGTGGCTGGACTGTACCACTTCAGGATTCAACTGGGTGGCAGTGGGGTGGATGCTATTTTTGAATACTCTTTCATGTTTAAAATAAATAAATACTGACCACCTCAGAGAAACTAGAATCAGGGGTCAGCAAACTTTTTCAGCAGGGGGCCAGTTCACTGTCCCTCAGACCTTGTGGGGGGGGCAGACTATATTGGGGGGGGGGGAATGAACAAATTCCTATGCCCCACAAATAACCCAGAGATGCATTTTAAATAAAAGCACACATTATACTCATGTAAAAACACCAGGCAAGCCCCACAAATATCCTAGAGATGCATTTTAAATAAAAGCACTCATGTAAAAACACACTGATTCCCGGACCGTCTGTGGGCGGGATTTAGAAGGCAATTGGGCCAGATTCAGCCCCCGGGCCTTAGTTTGCCTACCCATGGACTAGATCTAACCTGCTGGTACTGGCAGATTGCTGTTTCATAGTTCTACTGTTTCAAGTTTTTCATGTTCCCTACAATACAGTACAGTGCAGTCCTATATGTGTCTGCTCAAAAATAGTGAGTTCGGTGGACCTTACCCCTAGGAAGGAGCGAATAGGGTTGCAGCCAGGTAATGATTTCCTTGCTGCTACTTCCCTACCACAAAGAAAATCTTTTGGAACATTAGCATTTTTTTTTGGCGAGCAGGGGCGCATTTGGAAATCTAAGAAATTGTTGCAGAAAAAATCACAAAAAAATACAAACTTCACAGGGAAAAGTCTGGCGATGCTAAGAATCCCGCCCCCCACAAAGTCTATACATACCACAAAAAATAAAACAAAAACAAAAAAAGGCAACACTTCCATCCAAAATAACACACAACTGCCCCCGCAATCACATAACAAGGGGGAAAGCCCATCACAAACCCTCCACAAAACAAACACACACATACTCAATTTAAAAATAAAATAGGAAGTAGCGTAACAGGGGGCCTTGGAAGGGGACAAGGGTGGTGCTTAGGGTGTTGTGGTGGCCACTGGTGATAATAATAACATATAATAATAATTTATTATTTATACCCCACCCATCTGGCTGGGTTTCCCCAGTCACTCTGGGGGGCTCCCAACAGAATATTAACAACACAATAAAACATCAAACATTAAATTGGAGAAGACCCCAGTGAGGGGGGAAAGGTATGAGACCATTTCAATGCGCAGTGGGCTCTCGTGTCCCCAGCATAGCTTTTTCCCTCTGTCCACAGCTAACCAGAAGAACTAATTGCACAAAACGGGCACATAATGCAATCCAAATGTATTCAGGGTCTCAAGTTAGCCTGGGCCTGGGCTCAGAACGGGGACGGTTTCATTGCAGAATCTCTCTCACGGCTTCCCTCTCCACAGCCAACAAAGGCGCACAAGCGATGGGGAAATCCTGTTGTTGTGTCGCGCATGTGGTGACCTTTTCGGTGAGCCGTGCACAGAGGGGGAGGAAAACACACACAAACACATACACACAGCAAACAAACAACTCATTTATATACAGCGAAAAATTAACCAGTGTGGGGTGGATGAGATGCACCGTTAGGCTTGCTTGTGGGAGACACTGGCTTAGAAAATCCTGCTCAGCCACAACATCAAACGAGCAGGATGACCTTGGCCAAGTGCCTGTCTCTCGGCCTGATCGATCTCCTGGGTTTAACACGAGCCAGAGCCATCGGTAGATCTGGATTTCTAGAAAAAGAGATGTCGAAACTCTGCTCTGTTTGGAAGCGCCACTTCCGTCAAGAAACCTTCGAAGGAGGGGTGTGAGCAGAGAGGCCTTCAATTCCATTCACACTTAAATGTGAACTTACCTGGCTTACACTTTCTGAAAGCATTCAAAACCGAATCACAGCATTCGCACTTCTCTGAATCGGTTCACCAAAAAGCACATACTGGAACAAACAGTGCACATAAAATGACATATGTCGGTGAAAGCAACATACAGAACGAATTGCATCAGGGGAAATTGGTTTGCAGAAATGTCCAAGCAGTAGAAACATTTCTCAGTTAAATGACATTGGATTAGTACAAGCTCTGAACCAGGTGGTTGTGAACTTCACCAAAATCTTTCCTTAGCAGGAGCAGTGTGCCTGTCTCTCATCATTGGATAATTTCAGAGAAGCTCCACATACAAGGGGAAAATTTAGAGATAGGCAAATCCCTCTCTTTCAGTTTCCCTCAGTATCTCGTTTCTCCAGGTCTAAGTTCTTCCATTCCCACATCAGGTGGTTTTTTTTAAAGCCCTCATGAGAATTAATCAGCATTTTAGAATCATAGAATCACAGAATTGTGGCGTGGGAAGGGATCCCAAGGATCATCTAGTCCAACCCTTTGCATTGCAGGAACCACAGCTAAATAATGCCAGACAGATGGCCATCCAACCTCTGTTCAAAAACCTCCAGTGAAGGAGAGCCTGACACCTTCCAATTTGTAGCAAATTTCTCCCAGTATTCACATTTAGACAAATGTACACATTTGCAGGAATCTCCTTTGCATAGCTCATGTTGAATTGCATTTGCCATCGGACAGCCCATTCACTCAGTCTGGAGAGTCCTTTGGGGGTTCTTTGCAATTTTTATATTTTGTTTTGTTTTGTTTTAACCACCCTGGACACCCAGAGCTTCTGCTGGTGGGGTTTGCTAGGTGAATCCTGTTAGAATTCCTGCTCCGTGATTGCAGTCATGGGATTTTTGTCTTTCACATGACGGTGTATGTTTTGACTCCACAAAGTGGGAAGTGACGGAGACAGGATGTTTGTGTTACTGTGTTCCTTGAAGTGGGACTATTGTACTTTGTTCTTTTTCTCTTTGCTGTCTGATGCTAGAGAGAGAGGGAGCCATGTTGCAGTGCTCCTTGTGTGTTTATATGTAAATAAAGTAGATTAGCCAAAATGCTGAGTTCCGTCACGTGCAAGTTGTGCAAACTCTGCGGATCTCTAAGTGTGCCGGTATCTGTTGGCATCGGTTGCTGTGATGTTCAGGCTGAAGAAAGCTTATGAAGCTCCTGAATGATCAACCAGAAGGGAGAGAACATGCCAGTCAGGCATGTGTCTCTGCCAGGGTCCTACTTGAGTGTAGGCTGAACTCATGAATCCTGTCCATAATTTACAGCAGGCAGTGAGATGCATAGCACAGGATCAAAACTATACTGGATGTGATGAATGCAGGGCAAAACAGAAAACAGTGCCTTCTTTCACCTCTACCTCAGGCAGCAAAACTTCTCAGGCTAGCCCTCCTCTCCAAGCATGCCCAGAACCTTTTCCCTTCCCCGCTGAGCACGGCTGAATGATCAGAGGAAGACCCACATATCTGGTGTTGTGCAAGTGGAGAGGAAGGGGTTGCGCACCACAGGCCGTTGCTTACAGCCTGCCTAGAATCCCCACACTGTTTGTTTTACAAATAAAACACGGTGGCCAATATAAGCATCTTGGCAGGCTGACTTATAAAGCTATTATAATCCGAAGGAGATGAGCTTGTAAGGAGGTTTGGAAAGCAGAGGATGCCTCCTCAGGTGCAGGGGAGGCTGGTTCAGGCTTTGACGGTGACAGACTACAGCAAAATGCGCTGTTGGAAGAAAGAGACAGAGCGCAAGGCACTCCACACACCCACTTTCCCCACGGGGGTTATTGCTCCTTCGTGTAGGAGTTGGAATATTGCTAGTGATTTTCCTGGCTTAGAGACAGAAGAATCGCAAGAGGCAACAGGCATGGAGGAGGAGCTTGGTTGGTAGCCATAAAAAAAAGGCCTGCTGAAATGATAGGCCCCCACTCAACAAAACATAACGTTTCCGAGCACAATTCAAAGTGTTGGTGCTGACCTTTAAAGCCCTAAACGGCCTCGGTCCAGTATATCTGAAGGAGTGTCTCCACCCTCATCGTTCTGCCCGGACACTGAGGTCCAGCGCCGAGGGCCTTCTGGCGGTTCCATCACTGCGAGAAGCCAAGTTACAGGGAACCAGGCAGAGGGCCTTCTCGGTAGTGGCACCCGCCCTGTGGAACACTCTCCCACCAGATGTCAAAAAGAACAACTACCAGACTTTTAGACGACATCGGAAGGCAGCCCTGTTTAGGGAAGCTTTTAATGTTTGATGCATTACTGTATTTTAATATTGTGTTGGAAGCTGCCCAGAGTGGCTGGGAAAACCCAGCCAGATGGGCGGGGTATAAATAAATTATTATTATTATTATTATTATTATTATTATTATTATTATTAATTATTATTATTATTACTACTACTACTACTATATATCCCTCTGCGTAACCCATATCTCTGGCATCTCTGAAGAGGGCCTCAAAATGAGTTTGGATCTGTGGATGTTATTCCACCGAGGCCACATTCACACTACTCGTTCTAAAGCACCAAGAGTCAAACAGTCATGGCTTCCCCAAAGGATCCTGGGAAATATAATCCATTAAGGATTGTTCGGAGACCCCTGTTCCCCCGCCAAAGCTGTAATACCCAGAGAGGTTTAACAAACAACCCTTTTTCCCAAGGAACTCTGGGAAATGGCGTTCTGAGAGGGGAACAGGGGTCTCCTAACAAAGCCCTCCACAAACTGCATCTCCCAGAATTCTTTGGGGGAAGCCACAACTGTTGGAAATGGCATCGTAGTGCTTCAAACATGTGCTGTGAATGTGGCCCAAGTTTTCCTCAGAGCAGAATGGACACGACCATGCTTGTGGTGAAGAAATGGGAGGAGGCAGTGCGTCTAAGACTCGCCGTGCAGTTTCACAATGGCCAGGGGAAAGAGTGGCTTTTTTGAGAACAAAAAATGAATAATAATAGCAAAGACGAGGCACGGTATAATCACTGGGGTGAGAGGAATGCAGCCTCTGAAGTGATTTGCAGCTGGATCCACTTCTTCCCTGCCACAGACTGGGCTTTCGGACACATGGATTGAGCAGAGCATGCAAGCCTCTGGGCAGGGATGGTGGTGGTTCAGGAATTCAATGACCATGCATGGCAGGAGGGCAATAATTTCCCTTTACTGCCTCCTATCTGAAGATTCAGTGCTTCCTTCTGACCCCAGGGCCTCGGGCTTTGGCTGCCCACTCCCAACAAATCTGATTTACCATAAATAGAAACTGAGTGACATTGCAGCTGACTCTGGATGTTTGAGTTATACTGTATCCTGTCTTGCTCAGAGGCGATCCAGTGGAATTAATGCACGTGGCTGGCTTTCTCCCATTCATTTCAGTGGGTCTACTCTGAGTAGGACTTAGTTTCAAGACGATCCATTGGCGTTCACATTTCTGCAGTTCATAGAAATGCAGAGTTGGAAGGGACCCCGAGGGTCATCTAGTCCAACCCTCTGCAATGCAGGAAAGATTTGCCCAACGTGGGGCTCGAACCCACAACTCTGAGATTAGGAGGCTCATGTTCTATCGACTGAGCTATCTGCTAACGTTCAAATCAAAAACATGGATTGGGCAGAAAGCATCTTCCATTTCAAGTTGGGCATCTTTCAATTTCCGTTCCACGCTTACAAATGCGCACGAGCGTTGCATCCCAGACCATAAGGAATTCTCAGTGTCACTTATGATAATGCGCTGTGTGGCAAAAATGTGCATGGCACATCTATTTATTTTTAATTTATTAGCATATTACAAAAGCCAATTTATTCCGGGCAATTTAATATAGTTCATTGACCCGGCTCAAGAACAACCTGGTTAAAAGGTTGTTACCGAGACAGGACAGCTGCTTCACCTTTCCTTTATTCTGGGATGTGATAAACTCTAAGAACCACTTAATAGGAAATATTTTTGTACTCTGGTAGGGTACCAGACTGCAAATGATGCGCATTCACCATCAGCTGTGTTCATTCAACACTGAAAGCATTCTAACACTTCAGGTGCTGTTGACATTGACTAGGCTCAAGCAGGGGTGGATTTTGGTAATATGGTGCCCCCTCCCCCCCAATTCCCCCCCCCCCAATAGTTCCTTTGGGTGCAGTTGCCTTTTAATGGATTTTCTCCATAACAACCTGTATAATTTATCTTTATATACTATAAAGAGAGGCAGAGATGAGTCAGGCTGGTGAAAAGTCCTGGGTACCTCCCCCTCCTGCTGTGATGAACTCCTCTCCTCGCTTATCTCCCAGAACCAGAAGAGGCATGAAATGGGTGGGAGAGAGGTTGACTGTGTGCAGGCGCAGTATCCGATTGCTTGGAAAAAGTCATTGTCATGAACTGGCAGGACTTTGGGGAGGAGGAAGAGGATCCTGGTGAGAAGTGCAGCTGGGAGTAGGTCACACAGGAGCAAGCTGTCTAGGCAGTACTCGCAGGTGTGCCTGTGAATACTTTCTTTATCCTGAGAAAACCGTTTTGTATGACTGGCTTTTCGGACTGATGAAGTGTGTAGCGAAACCTGTAATATATCCTTTTGCCCACTTGCGTCATTTTCACCAGGGTGGTGGCTTTGATTTGCCTTCCCGTGATTGATCCATGCATACGGCTTTGTGTTTCCAACTCAAGACCCATTGAAGAACATCTCATCCAGTTCAATCTTTGAAAAACAGCTTTGAAAAACTTTTTCATATTCTCCAGTGTGCTACCCTTGCCGTTGTGGCAGCACGGGGTTGTCTTTCTGTGATTGGACTTACGCTACTTGTTGAACGGTTCATTTATCCAGTCTGTATAACATTTACTGCACATGTAACTTGTTAAGATACAGTTGTACATTTATCCACTCCATGTTTACAGTATCTCCTGCCTTTGTCTTGCACATGGCACCTTAGTATGTTTGTTGTTTGAATAGTTATGAGTCTATCTCTATTCTAGCTATTATTCTAGTAAATTTGGTTTTATACTTATAAGCCAGTTTATGGTGTTGTTGTTTTGCTGTATTATTATTACTGTCACCACTTTTGATACTTTGTGTATATACTATACAGTACTCACAGGATGACAGAGGATGATGAGGGGACAGGGGACAGATCACAGGAAGCCTAGCAGTGGGACCCCCTCACCAGAGAGACCCCCATCCCCACAAACACGGCGGGTCCTGAGACATAGGGAACAGCAGGCAGGGCACTCCAGGAATCAGAGGCAGGCCAGGGCCTGCAGCCTAGTTCACTAGCTGCCCAGGTGGGGAAGGAGGCATGTGATTCCTCAGGTGGGGCAAACTGAGAGCAGGTGAGGCTCACATGCCACATCAAGCCCAGATGCTGCAATCAGCAGACACAATGTAAGAAGAAAGCAGAGCTCAGGTATTGTGTCTGCTCAACTGGCCATGTTGGGGAAGCTCATCTGGTATTCTCCTTGGACCTTCACAGGTTTCTGCTTCGGGATTGACTCCAGACTGTGTCCTGGCTGATGAACTTCTACCTTGGCTTATTTAGACTGTGTTTCCTGATCTTTGGACTTTGCTTGTGAGAATTGGCCTCTGAACTTGGAACTTCGTCTGGGCACACTGTCTGTCTGCCAGGTAGGCCAGGGGGTCCAGGTAGCCATGGAGAGAAGGGGGCTTAGACAGCTGTGAGGAGGTGGGGACTTTCAGTCTCAGCAACTGATTTTCCTGGAGTAAGACCGCCAGGAACGAGCTGCTCTGCTCATTAGGCCTGGCAACCGACCAAATCTGTGGAGATCATGTTTTTGCTATGAAGAACTAACTCCAGCTTTGAACTGTGTGATTGCAGACCATCACGCTCCTGTGGCAATAATAACAGTGGCAAACATTTGTATTCGAAAGCAGTATCCAGCTAAATAAATCTCATAGCGCTAGGATTTCCGCTTGTGCAGTAGGACCTCTCTCTCCTTTCCCCGCACAGCCCCTGAGCTTTCCACAAATCTGCTCCAGAGAACCTCCAGAACAGATTTAGGAGCGTGCAGGATGCATGGGGAGGAGAGAGGGAGGGGAAGTTCATTTGCACAGCCAACAACCCTTGTGATATCTATATAGCTGCCTTAAGTTTTCTGCTTGTACAACAGAGTATCTTCTCCCTCTGCACACCATCTGCATACCCTCAAATCTACTCAGGAGCTTTCTCCCAACCCTCTGGAGAAAATCTATGGGTGCTACAGGGTTGTCCAGGAGAGAAGCGGGAGGGGAGTTTTTCTTGCGTGAACAGAAGTCATTACACTCACCCGATGACTTAGGCTGAATCTACACACATGTAAAAAAAACACTGTGAAAATACTTTAAAACAAAAACGTTTTAAAATATATATTGAATTTACTGTTAGCTCACCATCGCCATCTAGTGTCACATAATGCACTTAAAACATTATATTTGCAGCTGTATGGCTGAGTCCTTAGCTGAATCCAACCAATTAATGGTAGTTATGAGTCATAGACTCATGGAATTGGAAGGGAACCACAAGAATCATCTTGTCCAACCCCCTGCGATGGACGAATCCAACATGGAGCTCGAAATCATGACCTTTGAGATTAAGAGCCTTGTGCTCTACCGACTGAGCTAGCTGGCCTCTTCACCCCACCCCCTCAAGACCAGGAAGCCCGGAGCCTAAAACAATGTGACTGTACCACTGTACCACGTGAGTCATGGGCAAGCCCAAACAGGCCCAGCTAACTGCCCCACATAAATTGAAACGCTCCTCTCTGACCAGCTCGAGAAAATGCCCCATAATCCTTCACGGTATTTCTGGATCACAGCCTAGAAGGGAGAGCTGCACGCAGAGATCAAGAATCCCCTCAGCAGCGGCAGGTGTTTGTGTCTGGCTGTTCAGGTTTCAGAAATGAGTTCCTGTGTTGTTTGTCTGTGTGAGGGGCATGGATTTATTTCAAGATTCTGTTTTGTTTTTTTTGCTGCTTTTTTTTAAAAAAAACCCCAACAACTCAGTGTTGTATTATCTTAATTGCCTGCATAAAAATAAACACAACAGCTGTTAATTAATGAATTACGGAAGTGTGGGAAAGAGCTGAAATGAAGACAGATACAATACAGAGCATGACATAACAATTATAATCTGGGGGGCGGGGGGAGAGTTAAGATGCTGAATGAGCAAAGCTGTACCGTGAGACTGCTTCAAAATCCACATTCCTCATCCCTGGGATAGCTCGGTTGGTAGAGCATGAGACTCTTAATCTTGGGGCCAAGGGTTTGAGCCCCATGTAAGGTGAAAGATTCCTGCACTGCAGGGGCGTTGGACTAGAAGGGACCTAGTGGTCTCTTCAAACTTTACAATTCTACGATTACATGAAAACACATAAAATGGCTGAGCTGTCCATGAAAGCCAAGAAGCTGGTTCTCCTCCTTCACAGAACACATAAAAAATTATTATATTGAGTCAGGTTGGCCATTGGTCTTCCTAGAATTATATTTTCACCTTCTGGAGTTTTATGTTGAAATTAGGTTTTGTTTTGTTTATTATTTATTGCATTCCTATCCTGCCTTTTTCTCCTCCCAAGAAGCTCAAGAGGGTCTACATGGTTTCTCCCACCTCTTTGTTTAATCTACACAACAACCCTGTGAGGTAGGTTAGGCTCACAGGCAGTGATTGGGCCAACGGAAGTGCACTCACAACAAGATCAATCCTAGGGCTTGTGTGAGCAAAATGGCAGATCTGTTGCTACTTTCAAAGTCTGGGCAACTTGGCTTGGCCAGGATGGGAGGGGCATGTGTGGTCAGATACATTTTTTGGGGGGGTGTCATATGGATACTGTTTTAGTCTCACTCCCCTGCTCCCTAATGGTTCAAACACCGTGAAATTTAATCTCCTATGAACATAGGAGCCAGAGGGACATAGCCTTATACCAGTTTGGACCACTGGTCTTCTGCCTCAGTATTATCAACACAAACAGGGACTTTTCCAGGGTTTCTTGCAGGTTTTTTCCCTAGTCCTATTGTAGAGATGTCAGGAACTCATCCTGGAGGTGCTCTGCCCATCCCTAGGTAAAGGTAAAGGGACCCCTGACCATTAGGTCCAGTTGTGACTGACTCTGGGGTTGCGGCACTCATCTCGCTTTATTGGCCGAGGGAGCCAGTGTACAGCTTACGGGTCATGTGGCCAGCATGACTAAGCCGCTTCTGGCGAACCAGAGCAGCGCACGGAAACACCATTTACCTTCCTGCCGGAGCGGTACCTATTTATCTACTTGCACTTGGATATGCTTTCGAACTGCTAGGTTGGCAGGAGCAGGGACCGAACAACGGGAGCTCACCCCATCGCAGGGATTCGAACTGCCGACCTTCTGATCGGCAAGTCCTAGGCTCTGTGGTTTAACCCACAGCGCCACCTGCATCCCCTTCCCTTCCCTAGGAAGGTCTAATTTCAGAGTCCATCACTGGCTTCAAGCAATAGCTCTATGCCTTGGAGCGATTCAGGGGCATCACAGAGGGCTTCTTTGCCCTGGTTCACTCCCTGGCACTGCCAAGTAGGCATGGGAAATACTCTAGTCTGAACCCCCCCAAAGTTGCTGCCAGACAGTTTAGACAACACTGGGTTAAAGAGACAAATAATCTGACTTATTATGAAGCAAGCTTCCTGTGTTCCTAACCTGAGTCTTTTATTTAGGGGGAAATTGTTTCGCCCTGTATCCTACTTTTGCGTTATTTGTAATTAAAAAGGAAAAGAGCAATTACGAGAAGTTAATAATAAGCACAGTTTGACAGAATGATGCATTATTCCAAGGTTGTTTGGGTGTTGCTTTTAAAAATGGCTCTTAAAGGGTTTTGCATGATTCCTTTAACAAGCAATATGCTTGTATGCGTGAGTGAAGGAAATGTATAAAACGGTGGGGAGTTTTGTGGGACTCCATATCCCATCAGCAACAGCCAGCAGGGACTAAGGGTCAAAGATAATGGGAGATGTAGTCAACCATCACTTGAGGCCAAGGCATCTAAAGGCCCACTTTCTCATGTATGAAATCAGCTCAGCCCCTCTGCCCATTCGTTGACACCTTTCGTCAAGGTCTTTCACCACCATCCAGGTGTCTCCATCTTGAGAAGTAAGGTGGGTGGGATCTGGGAAAAGGGCCTTTGCCTTTGTCCTCTTTTGAACCTCAGGCCAAGTCTGTCCTGCTTGCCTGCAGTTTGAACTGTAAATGCTTTAAGGTAAAGGGACCCCTGACCATTGGGTTCAGTCGTGGGTGACTCTGGGGTTGCGGCACTCATCTCGCTTTATTGGCCGAGGGAGCCGGCGTACAGCTTCCGGGTCATGTGGCCAACATGACTAAGCCGCTTCTGGCGAACCAGAGCAGCGCACGGAAACGCCGTTTACCTTCCCGCCGGAGCAGTACCTATTTATCTACTTGCACTGTGACGTGCTTTCGAGCTGCTAGGTTGGCAGGAGCAGGGACCGAGCAACGAGAGCTCACCCCGTTGTGGGGATTTGAACCGCCGACCTTCTGATCGGCAAGTCCATTAATTTCTTACATTATGCCTTTGCTGCCATTTCAATTATTAGTCAAAGGGTTTGACACTCAGAGAAGCTCTTCCCTGCTTGGATGTAATTATTGTTGGTAATACAGACGGTGGTTTTAACATTGTTTTGGGAGGTCAGCTTGAGTAACTAAAAAGATGTGCGTAGGTTTTGTTGCAATAAATCCCCAGAAAGCCCTTTCTGCCTATTTCTTAATAAAAGTGGTAGTGGATTTGGTGTCAGTTTGAAAGCTGGTTATCCTAGCCTCACACTTCCATGATAAAAGCACCCCAGAGTGGTCTATGAGTTAAAAAACATGTACTGTTAAGAGCGGGGAGAATTATTTCATGATCTTCATGGTAGATAGCTACCTTCCCAGCAGCTTTGTATTAGACACATCAAGATAAAATCTTTACAAAAAGTTAAATATTAACTTTCAGGGTGGGGGGACGTTATGATAATATTAAAACTGGAATGAGAAATGGACACGCTATCAGGAGATTGCCAAATGCTTACAAGGCAAACCAGTAACTCCCTGATCTTGGACACTTGCCATTCGTTTTCTGCCTATTCCCGGGCGAACAGCCCTCCTTCAGAAATGAACTGCATTCAAACTGAATCCATGCAAGGAGTATTTAGAAATGAGTTCAACGACAAAAAATGCATCGACCTTCCCCAACTGGTAACTCCTTCATTTCACTTCATGGAAATTGATTCAAGCTTGGTGTTTCATTCAACGCTGGTCCTTAGATGTCAGGTAAAGGTAAAGGAATCCTGGATGGTTAAGTCCAGTCAAAGGCGACAATGGGGTTGTGGCGCTCATCTTTCAGGCTGAGGGAGTCGGCGTTTGTCCACAGACAGCTTTCTGGGTCATGTAGCAGGCATGACTAAACCACTTCTGGCGCAACGAGACACCGTGACAGAAACCAGAATGCATGGAAACACAGTTTACCTTCCCGCTGCAGTGGTACCTATTTATCTACTTGCACTGGCGTGCTTTCGAACTGCTAGGTGGGCAGGAGCTGGGCCAGAGTAACAGGAGCTCACCCCGTTGTGTGGATTCGAACTGCCAACCTTCTGATCGGCAAGCCCAAGAGGCTTAGTGGTTTAGACCACAGTGCCACCCACATCCCCTTTTAGATGTAGGATGGCCTACATCTAAAGAAAGAAATGCATCGCGAAAAGAGGGTGGAAGAGATGGTTCATTTGCATAAAATTTGCATTTGCTAGTTCATATTCCTAGATGCAAATATAGAAATGGTTATGATAAACAGAAAGTACAATACACCTGACCATACTGGGAAAAACGAATGAGCTGGTCTCTGCCCATTCAGTCTTGCTTAACTGCTGATAGTCACCTTAAGACCCCAGTTTCTCATCCTTACCTTTCATCCAGACTTGGACAAAGAGTTCTTCAAAGGAAGGACACCTTCAAATACAGGCTCCCAAGAGCCTTTCAAGCAGAGGACTTAGATGTGCGGAAATGATCTACACATAAAATATAACACAGTGGGCAAACAAGCTCTAAGCTCACTGGACTCTGTGGCAATTATTTTGGAATATGATGTCTTAGGTTTGAGTAGTGGCACTTCAAACTTTCAGGTGGAAGTCAAGGGGTTTTACTGCTTTCTTTTACAAGTCCTATTCCAGGCAACTCCCCATTTACATGCGTTCAAGGCACACGCAACTGCACACATGTACATCACCGCAAACCCAGAAGTGGCATGAAAAGGGGCAGAAACAGCCCTAATTCCCCACCCCATGTATTTAGTCGTCGGGAACCTCGTAAGTTGGAAAGCCATTCCACTGGCAAAAATTGCCGCACACAATTAAAAAAGGAGAATTACTTTTCTTTGAAACCGAACATGCACAAAGCTACACAAAAGGGTTTCTTTGTGTGCAGCCCAAGTTGAACAGCTCTGCAAAGCACACAAGAGTGAGGGATGTGTTGAATGGAGGGCAGCTCGGTCTCTAAGCTCCGTGCTAGAGCTCTCCATACAATCCGGATCCGCCCTGCCACATAAACCAACCAGATCGCCAACGTGCCCCACGGCTGCAAGCGTCTTTCCCTCTAATGGGGACACTGCCGGCTGGAGGCCTTTAGAATGGGGATATTTGCTTGGGAGCAAATTCCTGAATCTGGGGCAGCCTTTTCCAAGGTTGTCTGCGAGACGCATACTTGCCGGGGCAGTCGGATGTGTCTTGGAAACGTGCTACAAAGGAGAAAAGGCCCTGTACCATCCTGAAATCATCCTGGAGTTAAGCTGTTTATTGTCCTTTATTTAATTAGCTATCTGTAAACAGAAAGAATGGTGAAGGGTATTCACATGTAGGAAGCCAAAGTCATTATTTTAGCTATTCACTGTAGGGGGCAAGGACTATGCCAAGCCACCTATCGGAGATAAACAGCTCCCATAATTTGACGAGCTCTCGCATATTTTGCATCGCTGCTAAGATCTCTTAGGGCACAGTGAAGTGTTGCAGTTCAAGAATTCTGTGGCCTGATGCTAAGCACCTTTCTTTACTCGCAGAGAAGCCAAATCATTTTCAGTGGAGCTTACTTCCAGGTAAACTTCAGCAGAACAGTGCCCTAAGAAAGTCTACTCAGAAGCAAATCCTGCTGCGTTTAATGGGGCTTAAATCTTTAGAGAGAATGTGCAGGCGGTTGCTTTGTGAGTTGGAATGTTAGCAACAGTGTTGACAAACATGTTGAAATCAAGAAAAATAGAGACAGATATTGCGAAGAAAAACGGGACATTTAAAAATTAAAAAAAAACTAGTCCCAAAGTAGGAAATAAGTCCAGGAAAACAGACGGTTAGATGACAAAGGTGTGAAAGGAGCAGAGGATAGGAAGATTGCAGAGGAAACTGAAATAATTATTTGAGGAATAGGTTGGAGTTACCTTATTCATACATAATTATCAACTATATTTATTGGCTTGTGTGCTCTCTGCCCCCCAAGATTGCGCCAAGGAGACTGAAAGCTTACTCCCCCCCCCAATTAACCAGTTAGGCACTATGTCCAAACCCTAAACTGTGAGTAGCTTAAATATCCATTTTGTTTTTCATATTCACAGCCTTTTTTTTTTGCCCCAGAATATACCTTTACTCTTTGTCAACCTCATTTATCAGACCATCTAGCTCAGTACTGTCCCCTGTATCCTGACTGTCAGTGGCCGTCGAGGATTTAAGATAGAGGGCATGCCTAGCCCTAGCCCTGGAGATGTTGGGGGTTGAACCTGCAATGTTCTGCATGCAAAGCAGATGCTATAATAATAATAATACTATAATTTATTATTTGTACCCCGCCCATCTGGCTGAGTTTCCCCAGCCACTCTGGGCGGCTTCCAACAAAAGACCAAAAATACACCAAAATATCATACATTAAAAACTTCCCTGAACTGGGCTGCCTTAAGATGTCTTCTGAATGTCAGGTAGTTGTTTATCTCTTTGACATCTGATGGGAGGGCGTTCCACAGGGCAGGCACCACTACTGAGAAGGCCCTCTGCCTGGTTCCTTGTAGCATTGCTTCTCACAATGAGGGAACCGCCAGAAGGCCCTCGGCGCTGGACCTCAGCGTCTGAGCAGAATGATCGGGGTGGAGACGCTCCTTCAGGTATACAGGGCCGAGGCCATTTAGGGCTTTAAAGGTCAACACCAGCACTTTGAATTGTGCTCGGAAACATACTGGGAGCCAATGCAGGTCTTTCAAGCCCGGTGTTATGTTGTCTCGGCGACCACCCCTAGTCACCAGTCTAGCTGCCGCATTCTGGATTAGTTGTAGTTTCTGGGTCACCTTCAAAGATAGCCCCACGTACGGCACATTGCAGTAGTCCAAGTGGGAAATAACTAGAGCATGGCGAGACAGTCCGCGGGCAGGTAGGGTCTCAGCCTGCATACCAGATGGAGCTGGTAAACAGCTGCCCTGGACACAGAATTGACCTGCACCTCCACGGACAGCTGTGAGTCCAAAATGACTCCCAGGCTGCGCACCTGATCCTTCAGGGGCACAGTTACCCCATTCAGGACCAGGGAGTCCTCCACACCAGCCTGCCCCCTGTCCCCCAAAAACAGTACTTCTGTCTTGTCAGGATTCAACCTCAATCCATTAGCCGCCATCCACCCTCCAACCGCCTCCAGGCACTCACACAGGACCTTCACTGCCTTCACTGGTTCTGATTTGAAAGAGAGGTAGAGCTGGGTATCATCTGCATATTGATGGACACCCAGTCCAAACCCCCTGATGATCTCTCCCAGCGGCTTCATGTAGATATTAAAAAGCATGGGGGAGAAGACGGAATCCTGAGGCACCCCACAAGTGAGAGCCCAGGGGTCTGAACACTCGTCCCCCACCACTTTCTGAACATGCCCCAGGAGGAAGGAGCGGTATATATTACTGTGCCCCCAGCTCCCAGCCCCTCTAGACGGTCCAGAAGGATATTATGGTCGATTGTATCAAAGGCCATTGAGAGATCCAGCAGAACTAGGAAACGGCTCTCACCTAGCCCGCTGAGATCATCAACCAGCATGACCAAGGCAGTTTAAGTCCCATGATGAGGCCTGAATCCCGATTGGAAGGGATCCAAATGGTCCGCATCCTCCAAGCGTGTCTGGAGTTGTTCAGCAACCACCTGCTCAATCACCTTGCCCAAGAATGGAAGATTTGAGACTGGGCGATAGTTGGCCATACTGGCCGGGTCTAAAGATGTTTTTTTAAGAAGTGGTTTAATGACTGCCTCTTTCCGCGGATCTGGGAATGCTCCCTCACAGAGGGACGCATTCACCACCCCACAGAGTCCATCGCCCAGCCCTTCCTGGCTTGCTTTTATTAGCCAGGATGGGCAAGGATCAAGGAGACAGGTGGTTGGTTTCACGCTGACCATTGAGCTACAACCCCTTCCCACCCCACTGACAAGCCCCAACAAGAAGAGCAGGTGCTACTTGGCTGTGAGTCCTGGAAGACCTGCTCCCCACCTTGAAGGCTTTTCCCACCTGTTCTGGGACAGTGGGGCCCGGACTGACTCCAGCTGCAGAAGCTGAGGCTGTTGAACCAAACTATCAGACTTGGGGGTGGTTTGGGTTTTTGTTGTTGTTGCAGGGGTGATTGTAGTTGCTGTTGGCTTTTTGTATCTTTATCTTTATGTGGAAAGTGTTGAGTTTGGTTTTGTGTTTTTAATGTTTTATTGTGTACGACTACTTTTCTTACGTTGCAGTTATTTATCCTCTCCCCCCTGCCCACCCAAGTATTAAGCTGGCTTGAACATGGTTTGAACTGTGGAAAGGTGGCATACAAATAAAATTACGTATGACGTACTTCCAGTAGAAACCCATTTGTTTACTAGAGTTACCTTATTTCTTATCCATAACATCCCATCCTACCCATTCTTAAGGAAAACAGCCCTGAGTGCTCACTGGAAGGACAGATCATGAAGCTGAGGCTCCAATACTTTGGCCACCTCATGAGAAGAGAAGGCTCCCTGGAAAAGACCCTGATGTTGGGAAAGACTGAGGGCACAAGGAGAAAGGGATGACAGAGGACGAGATGGTTGGACAGTGTTCTCGAAGCTACCAGCATGAGTTTGACCAAACTGCGGGAGGCAGTGGAAGACAGGAGTACCTGGCGTGCTCTGGTCCATGGGGTCACGAAGAGTCGGACACGACTAAACCACAATACCTTATTTCCTACTTCCTGCCAGGCTTTTCTTACTGTTGGTGGAATGGGCTGCCTCTGGCATAGTGCAAGACCTCTCCCCAAGAGATCTCACTGAAGAGGCTAAATATGGTGGCTATTTTTGACCTCCAGCACCACAGATACACGGGGAGCACATCGCTATCGGCCTCTTGCCCTGCTTGTGGTCGTTCCATGTGGCCATGATGGGGTGCAGGATCCTAGAATAAATGGAACTTTTCATCTGACCCAGTAGGGCTCTTGTTGTGTTTTTATCCATTTCCATTAACGCTCTTGCCCCACAACATGATTTTATTATTGCTGACAAAATCAAAAACAACCCTTCCACGTACACACTTGGGGTGGGGAAGCTTTTTATAAGGATGAAGCCTGTCAACCTCCAACACAACAACCAACACGATTCTGATTAAAGAAAGAACTCTGTTTTTAATAGGGTTTTTTATCATTAAAAAAGTTTAAACCTGCATAGCAATCATTTCAAAAAATAATTATTTAATGTTCCATAATGAAACTGTACACAACCTAGTCTTGAGCGACCTGCAGCCCGTGAGGTGGTTTTGAAGCAGTCCAGCACAAAGAGTCTTTTTTTCCCCCCCTTTGGAGTTGGCTTTTCCCACTGGCGTGTCAAGAGGGTTTGTGTTTTGTTCTTGGTTGAGAGTCTGGCTCCGTGAGTCAGCGGTGGGTTTGTGCTGGGCTACGCGAACAGTCCGGTACCCCTCCTCTCTCTCTCTCTCGCCCCCTGCCCCAACCCCTTTCAGCGGGGCTCCTCAAAGTCGTTCAATGTCTCGATATTTCTTCCTCAGGATGGAGACTTGGTCTTTAAAGAGTACGGGGTCGAGCCTCATTTGAGAATGGGTCAGCGGCATATAGCCAAACCAGCTGGCAAAAGTGTTCATGCAGCTCTGCCTCTGAGCAAAGTGGTCTGGGTCGGCCCACCGAGAAGCCCTGGAGGTCTGTGCGGGGGAAATCAAACAAACGGGAGTCAAGGATAGGCCTGCAATGTTCAATTAATCTCACATAACCCTCCACAAAACTAAACCATTAAAATTGACTTGAAAGATGTCCCCACAATTAATTAATTGAGCAGCAGATTAAAATAAAATAATAGTAGTAAGTGCTTATAAAAACTGCAGGACCAGAGATTCACAGAAGATTGGAAGAAATATACGAACTATTTGAAGAGCAACTGTAATCAACAAATTACGCTAGTAGGACTGCAAGAAGTTTTGTAAGGAGGAATATATGAAATATTGCAAAGAAGATAAAGAAGAGAGACATCAGTTATGATACTTAAATGTAATAGTGAAAGTAAGAAATGTAAATTTAGTGGGAAAGATTGGAAAATTTTCAGATGTGATTCATGGAAGTCAAAAAAATTGTATAAGATATAAAAGTATGTTTTATAATTGTTGAAAATGATATGTTAAAAAACCTAATAGAAATATAAAAACTGCATCTAGAAAGAGGCACAGTTGATTTTACCTCACATTTTAATTAATTAATTAATTAATTAATAATTTAGGCTAGTTTTTGTTACTGGAAACCAGCCAACTTTAAACTAACATTTCACTATCCATACCATTTAGGGGCAAAAACTCTGGTTAAGGTAAAATGGAAGTAGATGTTCCCAAACTCCTCCTCGCAGCAGCGCTCATTCTTGTCATGCTTAAACCATGGTTTAGTGTTACTTGTAAAGTAGAGCACAGGGAAGTAGCTAGGCACATGTTTACTCAAAGGGCATTTTGACCCAGTAAGTCTTAAAAACTAATGCCTTTTTTAAAAAAAGAGTGCTGCCCATGAAAATAATTCTAAATTAATTTAGCAGCTCCCAAGCAAAGGCAAAATCAGTGTGTGATCCGTGACGTCTTATCTGTGGGCAGCTCCCAAAAGCCAGAAAAGGAAAGGCTGCATGCCAAGAAAGAACCACATATTGCATCCCCACAGTTAACGCAAGCTGCTGAATCGTTTTGGGGCGGCAGAGAAACAATTATGAAGTGATCTTCTTGTTTTCTTATGGGAAGTCACTTGAAAGAATCATTTCAAAAATAGAATATCACATCTGTCACAGCACAGTTTGAGAACATTCCTCCTCTCAGACTATGACGGCTTCGAGTTATTTTTTGAACAGCACAAAGATTTCATTGTTATATATATATATGTATCTATATATTTATATACATTATTTTTCAGGGTTTTAAGACCATAAGGTGTCAGGACTTTTATTATAGACTTCTAAATGGTCTCCCACTTACAGCAAAGTGGCCTTTATCAGCAGGAAGAGAAACTGCAGAAGACTAAAGCAGGTACACATGCGTAGAGAGGCGTGTTAAGTAAGGCTGTTTGTGAACTAGAAACTTGCTCAGGCTTTTTGAGTTTACTGGCGATACTGACAAATATGCATGCCCTCTATCATATTGACGGAAGCATGGCTTTTCAGGATAGATTTACCTGATAATTGCGTTAACATGTCAAGCAGCTCTCTTTGGTGTTCACATGATCCAAGCCATCACAATCCTGTATTACCAGATCATGCTATTACATTGGACGCTCGGGTTGCGAACATGATCCGTGCGGGAGGCACGTTCGCAACCCACAGCGTTCACAACCCATGAGTCTGCGCATGTGCGGATCACAATTCAGCGCTTCTGCGCATGCGCAAAGCACGATTTAGCACTTCTGCGCATGCGCCGAAACCCAGAAGTAACCCGTTCCAGTAGTTCCAGGTGCAGCGCGGTGAGCAACCCAAAATCGCACAACTCGAAGTGTTTGTAACCCGAGGTATGACTGTACAGTGGTACCTCGGGTTACAGACGCTTCAGGTTACAGACTCTGCTAACCCAGAAATAGTGCTTCAGGTTAAGAACTTTGCTTCAGGATGAGAACAGAAATTGTGCTCCGGCGGCACAGCAGCAGCAGGAGGCCCCATTAGCTAAAGTGGTGCTTCAGGTTAAGAACAGTTTCAGGTTAAGTACGGACCTCCGGAATGAATTAAGTACTTAACCTGAGGTACCACTGTACTTAAAAAAAGTAGCCAAGATGAGATGCAATATTCTGGCTACATGTTTGCAGACAACCTGACAATAAAACTTGGAATTATTCTGATTAATAACTAATTTTTATGCTACCCTTCATCCGAGGATCCTAGGGTGGTTTGCAATATAAAACTACAAAAACACACAATATAGTAACAAATCAAAACAAAAACAAGCCCTTCCTTAAAAGGACATATAGATTGTTTAATTAGCAAAAGGCCTGGGGGAAGATGAGAAAGCCTCTTGATATAGCATGTTGGTGGCTTCCTCTGAATGTGTGAACTGAACCTATTAAAAAAAGTGTTTGCTTATATAAGGCGTGTGTGTGTGCAGAATGTATATAGCTGCAAGAAGGTTAAAGCTGTCTCTAGACACATACCTGTCCCATCATGGTTTCCTTATACTGTTTTTTCTGTGTTACTTTGATTGGTGGCAATTTTGTCACAGCCGACACTAAAAAGTTCATCAAAATGTCCTCGCAGTTGGCCAATTGGTCCACCATGTTCTTCAGGCTGGCAGGCAAGAAATGAGTGTACAGGTAGTGATAATATCTGTAAAAAACCAACAGAGTCCCATCAGTGAGGATTGGATGCGGCCATCCTTTGCAGACTTACCTGGAGTTAAGCCCCGCTGAACTTGGGGAGAGGGATATCCATCCTTAATGGTGTGTTTTAGGGGACAGTGAACAACAATACATTTTCAGGACATAGGGATACGAAAGCCTTGTTATACCAGGTTAGGGTATCGCTACATTCAGCCTAGGCTTGTGCACTCTGACTTCCAATGGTTCTCCAGGTCATCAGGAAGAAGCTGACAGGTCTTGAACCTTGGACTTCCTGGTTGCCCACAACCTGCTCTACCACTGAGTTACAATCCCTCCCCATACTGGGGGCAAAGAGTCCATAGTCCATCCTCTACAATTTGAGGAATCGCAGAGGTGGAAAGATGTTTGATATACAGGGAACCATGAAGTATACTTTGTAGAGGTGATCTGTGGTAGATTTATTTGACCATGAGCTACCAGTTGTGGACTCCTAATCTAAGGAAATCTGACTATCTGCCCTAAAATCTATTATCCCATGTGCTTGCCCCAAAAAATGAGATTTTGCCTGAAGCTGTCCTGGACCCATTGTTGTTCAACATCTTTATAAATGACTTGGGTGAAGGAATTGGGTGTGGGGGGGTTGCTTATCAAATTTGCAGATGACACCAAACTGGGAGGAGTAGCTAATGCCGCAGAAGACAGAATTGGGATTCAAGATGACCTGAACAGATTGGAGAAGTGGAACAATACGAATTTCAATAGGGACAAATGTGAGGTTCTGCACTTGGGCAGGAAGAACCAGATGTACAAATGTACAATGGGGGACATCTAGATGGTACATGTGAAAAAGATCTATGGGTCTTAGTAGACCAGAAGCTTAGCTTGAGTCAACCGTGTGATGCAGCAGCAGCAAAAGTTAATGCTATTCTAGGCTGCATCAACAGAAGTATAGGGCCCAGATCAAGGGAAGTAATAGAACCTTGGTCAGACCACACCTGTGTCCAGTTGTGGGTGCTACAATTTAAGAAGGATATTGACAAGCTGGAATGTGTGCAGAGGAGGGCAACCAAGATGATCAAGGGTCTGGAAACCAAGCCTCATGAGGAACGGTTGATTCTAGGAGGCTTCCTTGGCTGTTCAAAGGCGAGGGAAGTCAGAAAACAATGACGACTCGTTTAAAACCAAAACGAGGCTTCCTTTGGTGGCTCTGTTCTTTTGCAATCTCAATAAACAAAGATGACTATTTCCAAACAACTCTGATTCACAAGGACCATACTGGCACCCTACAAAGCTGGCTAGTTTAGCATCTTTGATGGTCAGCCAACTCAAACCTTGCCTTGCTGGGGACATGTCCGTCCTTCCTTGATGCCAAGGAGTGTTTTGGCTTAGGCCTTTTGAAGAATTTGGGGGCGCTTTTGAAGTCTATTGAAGCCCATGAAAGGGAACAGTTAGGCTGCTTCTATAATACGAGCAACATCAAAGAGATTCAGAAAAACACAATAATTACCGGACCCTGAAAGTGGGAATTAAAGTCATCTATGAAACAAATTCGAACTCTAATCCTTCCAGAATCTCCTTTGGTGTTTTAACAAGAAATGCTGTTAAAAACAACAACAACGCTAACAGGAAGGGAAGAGACAGAGATGAGAAAATATTTTCAGGGCCTAGCTACATCACGGCTCCACCTAAATACCAATCTTTACCTATCAATAATAGCACAGGTGAACAAACCAGAGCATCTCTTGAGCGTGTAAAGGCTATTTTCCCCCCACCAACCATAACCAGCTCTCCCAGATTTTCAATGGGTCTTCTGAGGGCACTCTTCCCAAACCACTCCCCACCCCACAAAATTCTCCTCATTTTTGTGGTAAAACAAGGCTGATTTCTTGCGATGGCCCAGTAGGTGCTTGTGGTGTGAAGAAGTGCATTGTGGGAAACAAGGCACTGTAGGATGCACACAAGAATGTACAGAGGTATCCATCCTTAGATACCAGTTGCAGCATTTAGTGGAGATCTTGAAGGGCAGGGCAGCTGTAGCAGCAATAAGAGGCATCTTGAAGGCCAGGGAAGTTATGGCAAAACTCTGGCCCTCCACATCTCGTTGGACTACAACTCCCATCTTTGGCCTTGCTGGCTGGGGCTGATGGGAGTTCGAGTCCAGCAACTTCTACAGCACCTCATGCCCCCTATCCCAGGACTAGGACCTACTCACCTTTCACTAAATTGGGAGGGTTTGGGGTGAATGTTGGAATCAGGAGTAGGATGTAGGACTGCACATTCTCTTCTCCTTTGTCACCCGCCTGACATGTGCCCATTCATCCACCCATTTTGGCATTATGTGTGGCAATCAGGTTAATATGTGTTGTGTTAAACACATCTCCCAAAGCCCTGATTAAACAAGGGTTTCTCTAAGCAAATTGCAGGAATGCACCCAAGCTTTTTAAAAAAAATATATAAAGTCTCCTCTTGCAGAGACTGGTTTCAATCAGATATGATGCTCCCAATTCTTACTTGTGGTAGATAGCAGCTCCAGTCAATACCATGGAATAGTCATTAGTCCATTTGGATGTGTAGCCCCACCGTTCCTTAGTGTTGTCCCAAAAATGGCTGCGGGCAGGGTAGCCCACGATCCTCTCTGGGAAACTCTGCCAAACCGTAAAGGCAAAATCCACCTGCAGGCAAGGAAAGCAAACAGAACATATGTGGCAAGCGGTAATCAAACAGCCTCAAAAATGTCAGCAAAACAAAATATTACCTTTCCCACTAATTCATAATTTGCAATCTTGGGAACTGTTGCAAAACATTAATTCTCTGTATTCATCAGTAAATTAAACTGACTGCTTGACATTTTGCCCTGTAATTATGCACATTTTAATGTTTTCCTGTTAACAGGAGTCTAGAGCTCCAGAGAATCGCATTAACATTTTGCAGGCGCGACTCGTGCAAAGCTAAAGTTTGCAACTGGTAGAGAATCTGCGTGCCGTGTGGGAATTGCGTGTTTACTGGTGTGAACAAGAAAGCCACCGCTTTAAACCATTTTCATTGAAGGACTCGGGTGGGGGTGGCGAAGTGTTCTCGTTTCCTTCTGCTGAAAAAAATTCTATTCTCTCCTTTCGGCTAAAAGTAAGCTCCAGAAATCCTCACCCCCCCACCCGGTTTGAAAACGGCTTTACGTTAGATTCAGCGAGGAAGCAAGGCAGATGGTGAACACTGAAAGTCGGACTACAAATACAGTGGTGCCCCGCAAGACGAATGCCTCGCAAGACGAAAAACTCGCAAGACGAAAGAGTTTTTGGTTTTTTGAGTTGCTTCGCAAGACAAATTTCCCTATGGGCTTGCTTCGCAAGACGAAAACGTCTTGCAAGTTTGTTTCCTTTTTCTTAAAACCGTTAATACCCAGGGTGCATTGCTTGAAGAGGTGCAGTTGCGACTTCTTCAGCAAGAAGCAAAGAGTGGAAGAGGAACCTTCTTCGAGTTGTCCCCCAGAGTCTTAGAAAATGTATGTACAGTACACTTTGGTGATTTTTAAATGCTTTTCTGTCATGTTTAGAAACTTAAATTATTGTTCCTTCAATTTTTGAAATGCTCTTTACAGTATGTGTGACTTTAAAGAGTACTTAATAAACTCTTTTTGTACCAAATTTGGCTTTGTTTGGACTTTTTTTGACCATAGGAACGCATTAATTGATTTTCAATGCATTCCTATGGGAAACCGTGCTTCGCAAGACGAAAAATTCGCAAGACGAAAAATTCGCAAGATGAAAAAACTCGCAGAACGAATTAATTTCATCTTGCAAGGCACCACTGTACCATGATGCACTCCTGTGGCCGACTTCCTATGAGAAATGAGGGTCTCACGGCATCCTTGCTGCTGAAGAGGTGGATTATGGGAGATTCAGCGCACTGAACCACAAACATGAATGCTTCAAATTAAGGTATAGCAATAAGGGCCTATGTTTGGACCAGACATAGAATATAAAACTTTTAAGAAGATGGAGTAAGCGTGGCTTGCTTTCCTTGCTGCAGTTATTATCAGATCCTTTAGAATGGAAAGCTGTTTTGGGGAAGTGAAGAATGGCACACATCCTGAAGTATGCCGTTTTAAGGCACGTCCCGAAACTTTTAAGTGTTTTCATTCGGAAGGCAGTTCAGGCAGAAGGTTCATGCCGCAGCTCTGATCACATCCAAACCATCCTGTCAAGGAGCCAAAGGTCACCTTACAGTTGCCTGCTCTAAAATCTGACATCTGTTTCCTTGAAAAGACTTTAAAAACCATGAGGGGAAAGGCAAGGGATGCCGCGCCCATGCTAAACGATGAATCCAGGTTGAGGGCGAGTCATGGGCTATCACAACCTCCTGCCTCTAGTGTTCAAATTCTCCCTACCATCTAGGACAGGGGTGGGCATCCTGTGGGCCATGGCATGATTTCAAAAGTAATGGGTTCAGACCTCTGGCAACAGCGACCCGTCCCTCCCCTGGTAGCGAAGCGCGTGGCAAAAAGGGAGAAAAGGAATGTAGCCAGAAGACCCATTTTTGGCTCCGGTGCTGCCCCACATTGCCCTAACAGCTGACTAATAATAATAATAATAATAATAATAATAATAATGTATTACTTATACCCTGCCCATCTGGCCGGGCCTCCCCAGCCATTCTGGGCAGCTTCCAACAGAATATAAAAACACACATAATAAAACATCAAACATTTAAAACTTCCCTAAACAGGGCTGCCTTCAGGTGTCTTCTAAAAGTCAGAGAGTTGTTTATTTCCTTGACATCTGATGGGAGGGCGTTCCACAGGGCAGGTGCCACTACCAAGAAGGCCCTCTGCCTGGTTCCCTGTCACCTCACTTCTCGCAGTGAGGGAACCGCCAGAAGGCCCTCAGAGCTGGACCTCAGTGTCCGGGCAGAACGGTGGAAGTGGAGATGCTCCTTCAGGTATACTGGGCCGAGGCCGTTTACGGCTTTAAAGGTCAGCCCCAACACTTTGAATTGTGCTTGGAAACAGAACCCCACAGCTTCCGTATCCATTTTCTAGCTGGGTCGGGAAGCACTTTTCACCGTGAGGGATCAATGTCCCCCTGGGCAAAGCCACGCCAGTGGTAGGAGGGGAGAGAGGCAAAAGGGGGTGGGGCAACTTGAGCCACCATCTAGAGAAGCAAGAGGCACTATTAAGAGTCCAAGGACATACTCCGGCCAGAATTAAAAACATTTGGAGTGGGAAGCAAGGATCGGCGTGGACTGGCGGTGCCTTGGGGAGAGTTCCAAATGGTCTGGCGGGCCAAATTTGGCCTCTAGGGCGACACCAAATCCCTTCCCTTGTCTGTTCTGGAGCTTCTTCCATCAATTGTAACCCTGTGGTGTTGCCTCCAGCATCCCACTGGGGCTAAATTAGGGTTAGGGGTGTAGTTGAGATTTTGCTGGACTGCCCCATGCTAGCGTGGAAGTTGGATTTGAGTGCCACCTGGCTCCCCCAGGCGCCGTGCAAAACGACTGTCGACTCCCATTGCGGAAGATCAACGTGAGCCTCACAGCTCACTTTAATCATTTCCCTCCGAAGCGGATGCAATACAGATTATCTGGCATGGGTGGCGGGGAAAACAACCTACCACCTACCGGCCTCTTCCACCTGCTCCCCCCCTCCCTCGGTCAGCCCGCACAGATTTCTAATTACGAGACTCACACATGTCCCTCCCAGTATGGGAGATGGAACTTTGGACTCTCACCCAGAGGAATGAAAAGGCTTAATATTTCATTTCATTATGAATGAAAAGGGCAAAACCTTCATTAACGGTAAAAGATGAAAGAACAGAACAAAACCATTTGGGGCTCCCCCCCCCCTTCCAGGTTTTTATCATTCCAATTTGAAAGCAAGTTTCAAACTGGAGACTACTGTCAAATGTTAAATCGGGCAATAATAGGCTACTTGCCTTCATGGGTTTTTGTGTGTGCCAGGCACGGAATTCAAGAAATTTAAAAGCAGCCTTTCGTAACCTGCGGCATTTCAGATGTTTTGGACTTCATAGTCAGGGATGATGGATTTGTAGCCCAAGAACACCTGAGCAGCACCAGGTGGGGATAAGTTGCATTAAAGTATCTGGCTTCATCAACGACAACTCCGCATGTTTGAGACTCATGTAATACAGAACATGATGATTGGCCATTGCTGTAATGTCTTTAAAAGGAGATTTAGACTCATAAGCTACATGGAGTCCAGTGGCAAACCTACATTTTTGGATTCCCCCAAAATGGGGGCCCCTTCACAACCAGCAACGAGGTCTGGGTAACCACTGTAATCTCCTTCAGTAGGGTTGTTCCACAGCAGATCACCACACCATTATAATGTCTGTGCTACTGACTCTCAAACTTTGGGATTGTTGAAATATATGCAATGAAAAATTAATTTGAGTCGTGCCGCTCAAATTGGGTCTACTAGACCCAATTTTTTTAAAAAGCAATTTGGACTGAAGTTGCTTCTGGCACCTCTCCAGAATTAAGGGCCCTGGAGCTGGAGCTTTGTTAGTTTCACGCAGATATGCAGGAGAAAGTGAATTGGGTCACCTAAACACTCGCACTTCTACTACCCTGGAAGAAAGAAAGGCATTCATCTCAAATGGAGAACCTGTGGCTGCCTAGATAGGGCTGGACTCCAAATCCCATCATCCTTGGCTACTAACCAAGCTGACTGAGGCTGATGGGAGTTGAAGGCCCAGCAACACACAGCTCCTAATCAGCAGTGTCTGACCATTCCAGGGGGGGATTTGTCCCTTTAAGGGAGAGGGAAGGAGCTACAGAGAACAAGAAGAAAAGTGCTGAAATCGAAAGGGACAATAAAGACCCAAAGCTTTTCCACAGCTGCCATTAATAATGTATTTCCGATATATTGCAGTCTTATATAAACGGTCGCCCATCTCCTCCTTCTCTTTGCGGGAAGAGGTGCTAGAAATCAATACTCATCCCAGTTGTAAAAATTGGTTTTCTACAGCGGGCTTTTAGTCTCTCTCTCTCTTTCTGTGTGTGTGTCTTTTTCCTTGAGCACAATCTTGCTCTGGGCACAACAGCTCTCAAGTACAAGGAATCTCCTTTCATTTAAAGAGAGATTGGGCTCAGCTCTTGATATGCGGGAAGCAGAGACACAGGAATCAAACACAGGCATCTGGGTGGAAACATTTGCTTTACAAAGCAATGGTGTTGCTCTGAGAGGGAGAGGCAAGAAGGCTGGGGATGAGAAAATGTGCCGTTCTTTAAAAGGAAAGGAAAGTGTTAACTCCAGCCTGAAAGCCTGTGTTAAGAATAAGAAGAAGAAGAAGAAGAAGAAGAAGAAGAAGAGGAGGAGTTTGGATTTGATATCCCGCCTTTCACTCCCCTTCAGGAGTCTCAAAGCGGCTAACATTCTCCTTTCCCTTCCTCCCCCACAACAAACACTCTGTGAGGTGAGTGGGGCTGAGAAACTTCAAAGAAGTGTGACTGGCCCAAGGTCACCCAGCAGCTGCATGTGGAGGAGCGGGGAAGCGAACCCGGTTCCCCAGATTATGTGACTACCGCTCTTAACCACTACACCACACTGGCGGGCCATGCTGCAACCTGACTGCGTTTGCTGTTAGTGGGAATGTAACCTGCGTCCCGACAGACACAGGAAGGAGTAGAGTTCAGTACAGGATGCTGTGAGTGACGCAACTGCAGCAAAGCAGCACACCAGCTCCATGGAATTGTGTTCGCTGGGACTGAACAGAGCTGGATCAATAGACACAGTCATACCTCGGAAGTCAAACGCCTTGCGGGATTAACGTTTTGGCTCCCGAATCCCACAAACCCAGAAGTGAGTGTTCTGGTTTGTGAACGTTCTTTGGAACCCGAACGTCCGTCATGGCTTCTGATTGGCTGCAGGAGCTTCCTGCAGCCAATCGGAAGCCGTGCCTTGGTTCCTGAATGTTTTGGAAGTTGAACGGATTCTGTTCGACTTCTGAGGTACGACTGTAATGCTATAGCAAAGGCATAGTCCAAGACCATAGCTCAATGGCAGAACATCTGTCCTTCAGGAAAGAAGGTCCCCACTGCAACTGGCAGAACTCAACCAACCAAGTTCTGGACCCACTAATCCAGGGGTCAGCAAACTTTTTCAGCAGGGGGCCGATCCACTGTCCCTCAGACCTTGTGGGGGTCCGGACTATATGGGGGGGGGGGGGGAAATAATGATGCAAGAGCACCACAAGCCCTGGTGGCTGCTTACCTGTGTCTTGCAAGCGGCAGGGGCTGGTGGCAGAGGGATGATGAGCGGCGTGCAAAAGGCTCCAGAGAGGGGCTGCTTAAAATGGCGGCTGCTTGAGTGCTGCTGCTGCTGGCACCAACAAAGCCCAGCCCCCTTCCTCCTCTAGGCAGGGCGGGGAGAAGTCAGGAGGAGGGAGGGAGGAGGCGCTGCTGCTGCCACTGCCGTGTGAGGGGAAAAACGCATGTAATTGGGCCTGATCTGGTCCCCAGGTCCTAGTTTACCGACCCATGCCCTAATCTCTCTCTCTCTCTGTAAAGGACCTATCCTCGTGATACTGACACAATCCCTATACAGTGGTATCTCAGGTTACATACGCTTCAGGTTACATATGCTTCAGGTTACAGACTCCGCTAACCCAGAAATAGTGCTTCAGGTTAAAAACTTTGCTTCAGGATGAGAACAGAAATCATGCTCTGGCGGCGCGGCAGCAGCAGGAGGCCCCATTGGCTAAAGTGGTGCTTCAGGTTAAGAACAGTTTCAGGTTAAGAACAGTTTCAGGTTAAGTACGGACCTCCGGAACGAATTAAGTACTTAATCCGAGGTACCACTGTACAGTCATACCTCATGTTACGTTTGCTTCATGTTACGTTTTTTCAGGTTGCGTCCCGCGGCAACCCGGAAGTACCGGAAAGGGTTACTTCCGGGTTTCGCTGCTCGCACCTGCGCAGAAGCACTAAATCGTGCTTCATGCATGCGCAGAAGCGCCAAATCGCACCATGCACCAGCGCAGATCCGGCGCTTCAGGTTGCGGGCTTTTCATGTTGCGAATGGGCCTCTGGAACGGATCCTGTTCCTGTTCACAACCAGAGGTACCACTGTACTACCACTAGGCCATAGAATGAAAGAACAACATCCCCATCACACTCTCTCTCCCCTTTCTTTCCCCCCAAATTGTACTTTTCTCTGCTTATTTGTCTGTCTCATAGCACAATAAACCCTTTAATAAAATTTATTTTTAAAAAGGTCCCAGGTTCAAATTCTGGCGGCTCCAGGTAGGCATGGGAAAAGCTTTTGCTTGAAACCCTGGACAGCTGCTGCCAGACAGTGTAGACAGCACTGAACTAGGTGGACCCCCATGGTCTGGGTGAGTACAAAGGCAGCTTCCTATATTTCTAACGTCAGAGACGGCCGATCATGCAATCCTCGCCTACGCAGCCAGCACAAAAACTGCGAAGAGCAGAGGCTGAAAGCAAGCCAGCTGCAGACTTGGACGGGAAGAGGTCTCACCTCAGTGGTTGAAAGCACCGTATCCTCATCGAGGCTTAGAACAGCATCCGTGACAATGTTCTCGTAGGGCAGGAAGCGGCTGCTCATCACCTGCGGAGGGGGATAAAGAGGGTCAGCGCTCAGCTCGTGAGACTCGCCCTGCCAAGGGCAGCACCCCTTTCAGACCCAAATTGGAAGAGTTAACTCTCTGCCATCACATTAATGGAGGAAATGACCCCATTGAACAGAAAGGTCTGGGGAAGATTTGAGGATGACTGGTCAGATAAGAAGAATTGAATTTCGTGGTGGCTCGCTACGCATTCCTCCCGTGCGGGTTGCTTGTTTCTGCTGCTACGTTATCCACCAATTTGTTTTGAAATGGCAGCACCGCGGGGGCTCACGGCTGCTCCCTTCCACCTGATTTTTGTCATGTTCAATGCTCAGGTGTGTTAGGTGTCTGCAGTGGGGGGGGCGGGGAGGAAGGGGTGCAGTTTCTCTCTCCCATGAACCACAAGTCCCTGATTCCCAGCTTTCGTTCAAAAATAAGACACGCAAGTTCCTAGCAAGGAATTTGAGGTACGGGGTGAATTGTACAGGCCTTGTAAAAATCCCTGCAGATTCCTGTGCCAGGAGGTTGTTATTTTATTTTGATTTTTATATTCATGATGTAGCTATATGAAAAGAAGCAGCAGAGAGAGAGAGAGCCATGGATGCATTTGCTACAAAGAGCTGAAGGCCTTCCCACTTGTATCCTCACAACTACCCCTGCAAGGTTGACTAGGAGGCAGCGACTGGCTGAAAGTCACTCAAGTGGGGCTTTCAACCAAACCTAAGGCGGGTCACAAACTGACCTACCACCCATACGCATATATGCCGGCAAATTGAGCAGCCAACCCCTGAATGCACGCAGGTGGGTCAGTCCCACATCTTAAAAAGCTTGCTCTAAATTTGGTTTAGAGCAGGGTTTCCCAAAGGTGGGTCTCCAGCTGTTTTCGGACTACAATTCCCATCATCCAGTCCCGCTAGCTACGGATGATGGGAGTTGTAGTCCCAAAGCAGCCAGAGACCCATGTTTGAGAAACCTCGGTTTAGGCAGCGGTTCTCAACTTGTGGGTCCCCAGATGTTGTTGGACTACAATTCCCATCATCCCTGAACTCTGGCCTTGCTAGCTAGGGGTGATGGGAGTTGTAGTTCAACAACATCTGGGGACCCACAGGTTGAGAAAGCAAGGACAGGCGACCTTGCATCCGCCAAATGTTGGATTCCAACTCCCATCAGCCCCAGCCAGCAAGGCCAAGAGTCAGGGATGATGGGAATTGTAGTCCTGACCATCTCAGGTGCGGCGGAGGAGCCAGATGTCGCCTGCCCCTGGCTCAAATCGTACATTCTGAAGTCCGCAGACATTTTGTTTTCTCCCTCCCTCTTTGGGAATTCATTCTGGAGGGCAGAGCAGCCTGCCAGCGTGCGAACGGCACACTGTTGACCGCACGTCGAGATTTCTTTGTTGTCTCTAAGATGCCTCCAAGGCAAGTTCCTACACATGCTTTGGAATTTGAGGGGGCATTTTGTTCCCTTGGGCTCTCTGATGTAGGAAAAGAAGAAACAATAATGGCAGAAGAGGTGGGCAATCTCCAAGCGGCAGCCTCCTATCTCAGCCCTGCAGCAAATCTCCTGGTACTGCTCACATGGCCACTATTTAGAGTCAGGAACCTAGTTACCTGGCAGCTTAGCCATGCACTGACTTTTCCCTTGTCAAATCTACCGGGGGGCGGGGGCGGGGGGAGACAGTAAACCCAAGGCCCGTACATTTCAAATAGCCGTAAAGCACCTGGAAAACTTCAGAGTTGAAAATCCCTTCTGCTCTAGACAGCTGGCTGATAAAAACCAAACCCAAACCCCAAGCCTTCCACGCTGTATTCCATGTCAGTCAAACCAAGATTAGACTCCTTCCCTTCCTCCAGTTTAGCATTTATATCACAGGCTGTTCATAGGGGGGCGGGGGACATGTTTCTGTGTGTGCATGGAAAAGAAGACTCCAAGGTCCAATGCACTGTGCAAAATTTTTTTTTTTAAAAATGTGGCAAGTTTGGAAATATGCCGCACAGCCCTTTCTCTGGTGCAAAGGAGAGCAGCACAAAACCAAGCTTCAGCCAGACATAACCACACCAACTTATCTGCAGGTTGTACGGAAAGAGAATCCCAGGAACCTGGACTCTTCTACCTGTGGAAGGGCTGCTCCCAACAGTTGGCATCTTTAATGGACTGGGTATGAGGCAGCTTCCTATGTTAAAAAATGGGAAAACCACCACCACCGCCCTGTGGAACACCCTGCCACTAGAAATTCAGCGGGAGCTTTTGTGCCAAAGCTCGCTGAAAACTTTTCCGTTCCATGAGGCCTATGCAGGCAATTAAGAGTCCCATCCACCCCCTACAATGGTCTAGCGATGCTTGTTTCTAATTTCTTTCTTTCTTTCTTTCTTTTTGCTTTTAACTTGTTTTAAAACTGTTTTGGTTTTTATTGTTTGGTTTCATGTGTTTATAGGTTGCAGGGAATCCAATTCCTCCCACGATGGGCAGCCAAGAAGTAGATAAACAAGAAGAGTTCTTACCAAGTCTTTTATTCAATATTGAGAGAAATAGGAATTCTGTCTCTCTTGGATAATGGTGTTGCTTGAGTAAAGACCCACCCCCTCCGTCTCTCCTATCAAACGTCTTCCCTGCACTGGCTGATCTGTGCTTTCGGCCTCTGAGCTTTCTGTTCTCCTACTTTCAATGCTTGCTGGGACCTGGAAGGGGGGGGGGGGTCTGGCATGCTTTCCAAGGACACTGAGCCAGTCAGCTGTCTCTCCCCTGGTGCTGCTTCTTCTTCCTGCTCCTCTCCCAATATTTCCCAGCTTCTCCGCTCTGCAGCCTATGAAGTATGACCTTCTGCAAACCACTGTTCTAAATCTGTACTGTCTCCCTCTTCTCTGGGAAGTGCAGCGGGGGGGGGGGGGTGTCCTCCACCATTCCTCCTCAGTCCAGTCCCTGACAATATTGTTGTAATCCGACGTACTTTTAGGATATAGTAAAGTAAAGGTAAAGGGACCCCTGACCATTAGGTCCAGTTGCGGCCGACTCTGGGGTTGGGGTGCTCATCTCGCTTTACTGGCCGAGGGAGCCTGCGTACAGCTTCCAGGTCATGTGGCCAGCATGACTAAGCCGCTTCTGGCGAACCAGAGCAGTGCACGGAAACACTGTTTACCTTCCCGCTGGAGCGGTACCTATTTATCTACTTGCACTTTGACGTGCTTTCGAACTGCTAGGTTGGCAGGAGCAGGGACCGAGCAACGGGAATTCACCCCGTTGCAGGGATTCAAACCGCTGACCTTCTGATCGGCAAGTTCTAGGCTTTGTGGTTTAACCAACAGCGTCACCCGCGTCCCCTTTTAGGATATAGCGATGTATATATATATATTTTATATGCATGCATGAATGAACAAATAATGAATGAATGAATGTTATTTAGTCCCCATGACTGAGACCTTGGCATGGCCAAACTTACCTTGCTCTCTCCTTCAATGACAATAACAGGAACAGCAGTGGCAGGCCATCGGTGCTTGGCAGGGAGGGGTTTATCGCAATTCCATAAGACAATGATCTGAAAAGGAAAATTCATCCTTCGTTGAGCGGAATGCCTGTGTAGCCCAAAGACAAAGCTCAAGCATCCTCCTTAGTTACATGGTTCAATTCTGAGCTTCCCCAAAAGGATTAAATTGTGCAATCCAATTCCTTTCCAGAGAGAAAAGTACACGACTCATTTTTCTGTCCTGACAATGGGGGACGGGACTCATCCCCTTTGACAGATGCCATCAGAACAGCAATTTCTGCCACATCTAGAAGGATCCTTACAGCTCACTTTGGCAGAGGCCAAAGGCCAAAATGTTCCATTATATAAAGAGCAGGCTCTTAATGCCTTAACACTGCTGGTATGATACGCAGTTTTGTGCCACTTCTGTCGTGCTGTGTGAGCACTGGGCGGGGATCGGGTCCAGCTCCCGGCTCAGCTTTCAGAGTTGCCTGTGTGCTCTGATTCCAGATTCAGCTTTCTAAGAAGCTCTGCTTTCAGGTATATTTAAAGGCAGGTCTCTAACCCTTATGACTGGAAATATAAGCTTGGAAGTAAGTGGGGACGTCTTGGTGAAATCTCAGTAAACAGGAAGGTGGCTGAGCAAGATTTGTCGTGGGTGGGTGTCTGTCCTCCATGCATTTCATAGCAAAAACAGCGCATTCAGAATGGTAACAGCTGCAGAGTTATTCAAGAGAAAATAGTGCCTTAATATGCAGAGTTTGAACAGGTTGCAGAATCCAGCTTCCCTTGACACTGGATTTTAAATTGCCTGGGCGCAGAATTCTGCATTTTGTTATTTTAAAGCTGGGCTAGCTGGCCGGTGGCCCTCCAGAAATTGGGCTTTAGCCCTGGTCCATGATCAGTGATAATGGGAGTTGTAGTTCTTCGGCCACAGGTTCCTCATCTCAGTTTTAAAGCACGGAAGACTGCTAGCCTGATAATAAATGTCTCAGGAGGCAGTAAATTAAACTAAAATATTTCCTCTGGGACTGGACCTCAGGCAAGGATGCAAAGCCAACTAGCATACCTTTGGGAGAATAAAAGACTTGTGGAACACATGCTGCTGGCCACAACTCTCCAACGAGGCCTCCTGCACAACCATGTTTTTCCATTTTGTCACAGTTCGCACTGAATCTAAACTTCCTGGATGATATTTCGTATAAGGGTGGAGAGACAGTAGCTCAGAGCAATCCCTGGCAACTCCATAGGATCTCAGCTACCAGAAGGACACTTGTCTGAGTCCCCAGAAAGTCACTGCTAGCCAGAGCAGAGTTATTGACTAGATCAGCCTCAGACGTTGGCATCAGCTCTGACTGCTGGCATTTCTGGCTGGAGCTGGTAATTAGAATCACAGAACTGTAGAGTGGGAAGGGGAACCGGGAATCATCTAGTCTGACCCCATGCAATGCAAGAATCTTTTGCCCAATGCGGGGCTTGAACCAACGACCCTGGGATTAAGCGTCTCATGCTCTAATTGCAGTGCAGCAACTTCTGGAGGCCTCCAGGCTCTGGCAGGCAGAGCGAGATGGACCAACTGTCTGACTCGGCACAGGAGAGTGTGCTATCTTCACGCAAAATAAAAGCTACTGTATTTTTCGCTCCATAGGGTGCACTGGACCATAGGGCGCACCTAGTTTTTAGGGGGAGAAATAAAGAAATTTTTTTTTAACCCGCTTGCTGTCTTGGCTTCCTCTTTAGCCACGTACAACCTCTCCAGCCGGGAGAGGCTGCGCGCGGCTTTGTTTTTAGCCGTGAGGCTGGGGCAGGGGAAGCCCGAGCTTCCCCTGAACCTAGCCCCCAGAACAGGTCCGGGAACGGAGGCAAGGTTGCACAGCCTTGCCGACGCTCCTGGAGCTTGTGGGCTGGGGGAGCGCTCCAAAGGTTTGCGGATAGCTGCCTGAAGCCCGGGGAGCGCAGTGGGAGTTGGCACTGCTCTCCCCGGGCTTCGGGCTGCAGGCTGGTATCCGGAAGCCTTCGGAGCCCGGTGGGAACTCCCGCCGCGCTCCGAAGGCTTGCAGATAGCTTCCTGAAGCCTGGAGAGCGAGAGGGGTCGGTGCGCACCGACCCCTCTCGCTCTCCAGGCTTCAGCGAAAGCCTGCATTCGCTCCATAGGACGCGCACACATTTCCCCTTCATTTTTGGAGGGCGAAAAACTGTGTCCTATAGAGAGAAAAATACGGTATTTACATCTCTTTAAACTCTGCTGCATTTGCCAAAGCCCTGCATTAGAAAAGCACATCAACATCTATTAAGCAAGAGGCACGTCAAAGAGTACCCTTTATTTTGAAGTCATCTCAGAGACACGGCTCAATGGTGGACCGCCTAGAGGCCAAGCCTAGTTTCTTACCTGGGAACAGTACTGGGATTTGGCTACAGCAACCAGGAGTTTCAGCACAGGTTGAGACTGAGAAACTAAAGGAGTAACTGCATGGATAACGGCGGTGAATTTGGATGGGGGCTTGACGCCTGGAAAGGAAGCCAGCAGTAAAAATATATATAAATATATGTTGTTAAGCAAAGGGCGACAAATCAATATTGTTATGTAAAGGGCGACAATCTGAGCAGTAAAGAATTGCTGTCATCTGAAACAAAATGAAATTTGTTGACTTCCCCGCCCCTCGCGTGTGGAGACTGGAGGGATCAAGAGCAATTTGCTTCACTCCCTGCCCTGGGCTTTTATCGATTTTATCTATTGCAATTCTATCCCCTTTTCTTTCTTATCCAAGGAGCTCAAAGTGGAAGGCATGGCTTCTTGTTTAATTCCCCACAACAACCCTGTGAGGTAGGCCAGCCCAGTGACTGGCCTAAGGTCACCCAGAGGATCAGACCTAGCCTTCTCCAACTTAGCGTCTTCCAGCTTCCCCAACATGGCTGCATTGGCGGAACCTGATAGACGCTGTAGCCCAAAATAGCTGGAGGGTACCAGGGCTGTGAGGAAGACTGGTGTTGGCTGATTAGCTGGAGAGAGGCCTGATGGACGGAAGGTCCCACTTCATGAGCAGGAGGGGAGCCACAGCTCAGCGGCTCTGCACATGGAAAGTCTCAGGTTCAGTCTCTTGGCACAGCCAGCTAAAAGGACCAGGAGATGGGAAGCCAGTCCTTGTGAGATCTTGGGAAGCCACTGCCAGTCTAAGTAGACAATATTGGGCTTGGTGGGTCACGGGTCAAACTTGCCCCATAGCTGCTATGCCTGCCCATTTGTTACCCAGCGAAGTGCAAGGCTTTGGTGGGAATTTACAAGGCCCTTATCAGTTACAAGGCCCCAATCCCTTATCTCCCTGTTTGACTCCTTAGAGGAGTCTCTGTTGGGGGTCCCTGATGGCTCATAGGCATGTCTTGTAACGGCCAGAAGCCACATGTTCCAAGCCTGTGGAACTCCCTCCCAACTGAGATTAGAGAGGCACGCTCCTTGCTCAAATTCAGGCACCAGACAAAGACTTTCTTTGAAGGCAGTGTTCCGTTGGGTTTTACGATGATGATGATTTTATTGCTGAACGGTTAATTTTCACGTGCACAGCTTTGAACTGCTAATGATTAAGTCTGAAGTTATGAACAAATAATAAACTGAAAGTCCCTTTTAGTCGTTTGCTGACCCCCCGCCTGTTGGCTTTTACGCATGGAGGGCTTCTTTTGAATCGGCCTCTCTTGTCAACTTAGGAACTGCTGACACAGGTGCGTAACTGCAGCTTACATTGCAAGGCAAGTCCTTACGATTAGATTGGATTTCATAAGCTTAGAAAGTTTGCCCATTGATTTCGTAAACTAGGAAGTCTCTCTACAGATACGTGGGGAGCAGGTCCTCAACATGAAGGATTTCTAGCACCCATCTTGCATGACCTGTGCATGGGCAGCTATGATGCTTCGTTCGACCTCCCCACCACACTAAGCCGGTGTGGCTATTCTCTCCCACTGCTTTCCTTGAGATCCAAATTCTGCTCCAACCACAACTCTGTGTGTGTGTGTGTGTGTGTGTGTGTGTGTGTCTGATGATATAGGGATCAACAACCCTGTGGTGAAATGAAGTAAGCTCAAGAGGTGGAAATATCAGGGGGCCGTTATATAGGTGGACAGGTGTCAGCTGATGCAAGCAGAGGGAGATGTGAGCACATTTTAACCATCCTAATCACCATAATCATATCTGCACAGCACTCCTTCTGCAGCGTGTAAGATGCCACACTTGTTGGCCAATTGGCGACTCCACAGAATTTGCGCGTCAGAACTGGCAACGCAATGGCCTCATACAGAAACAACCATGGCTCTTTGCTGGTAACATAGCTGGTAAATTAGAAGTCAGACAAATAGGAAAATATCCTTCCTTCCTTCCTTCCTTCCTTCCTTTGGATTGATTTCCCTCCACTGGTGCTAAACATGTCTTTGCAATACATGTGGCATTTATAGAAACACTACAGCTTAAAAGCACAGCAGATCCTCTCATCACAACGGCTCGTGGAAGCGCCTCAAAACTTCCCTTCCGATCTTTCTAGTTCACAAGAGAAATACGGTTTGCATCGCTTCACAAGGAGCTGGGAGAATTCTGGGGGGGGGGGGGGTGCTTGGGGAAGTGGTATGATGACTGCCAGGGGGAAGGGTGGGCTAAAATTGTGCTTCTGAGGTGTTCCTTCCAACTGTAAGTTCAGACACCCCGGTTAGCTTCTTCAAGTGTTTGACAGCAACACTTGAGTGGCCCAGTTTGAGGGCAAGCTAACAGGGGTTAATGCTGAGAAGGGAAAGAACTGGGGAGACTCACTCTAGAAAGGGAGGGGAGGGCGTGCCACAAGGCTGGTTCCTGATTTGCGCACCCAGTCTTATCCATAGGCGCTAGGGGTGCAGGGCACCTGGGCGCTGGACTCTCAGGGCGCCAGGCCAAGAGTCCAGCGCCCGAGAGCTGAGTCTGGGGAAGAGCCTGCCTGTCGGTCAGAGCGCTGTGGCAGGCTCTTCTGCTGCGGACGGCTCTGCGCCACAAGTTCTGGGGTGACCGAGCCAGCGAGACGCTGAGGCAGGTAGCCGGCTGGCTCCGCCCTCCTGCGCTCCTGGGACTGGGCAATCTGGGGGGGCACGCACGCTGGGTGGATCTGTGTACCCCAGCGCTACATATGCTTAAGACAGCCCTGCACCCAGGTTTTTTGAAAAGCCCATACCCCCTTTGTGACGCACCATGAGATCCAGCCTCCGTATAGGAAAGGTCATCCACCGAGAATCACTTACCTAGATTAGCATAATAGTAAGGAAAATCTCCCAGATATGACGAATACTGTGGCAGTACAAATAACCCTCCAGGGTGCTTGTTCCATATTAAGCTGTTACGTGATATGTGCTTAAATATTCTGTCTTGAATAATCTGTTAAAAGGGAAAAAGAAAGGGGAAAAGGAGCGACTCTTAAGAAGGTCCGAATGAGAAACGGGAGAGGTGGCGTTGCTTGCCGAAGGTAGCAGTCAGCTTTTCTGCAGAAAGCCAGCAAGAGGCCGGTTGTTTAGCATTCCTGTTTAATCTATTTCTCTTTTCTCCCAAGCAGCCCCGATGATGCTGGACCCGTGCGCATTCCTGCGGGTTAGAAGCCTCGCATAATGGTATTCAAACTACCTCATTAGGCGCCGCAGAAACCGTGGCAACAGAGTGAACTTATTAGATGCTGCAAGCCGGAGTCAAAATATTTTCGCTTTTTAAAATGGCATGTCAGCTTGCGAGGCTGATGAATCCATGCTACAATTTTGCCATCAATGTCCTGCATAAGATAATTAGTCTGGCGGTAGATTTAGACAGGGTGGTACCTTCCTGGAATAACGATGACTGTTACCTTCGCCTCCTTCCCCTTCTCCCCCGCCCCATGCAAACACACACAAAAATATGGTGCCGGAAACACAAATTGCATGGAGCAGAATGTAATGATAGCCACGTGGCTTCGGCCCAAGGAAAAACCAAAAGTGTAGTAACATTTATTCTGTTCTGCTCCAATTCTGTGCAAGCATGGAAAAAAACCAGCTGATTTTGTATGGGTGCAAAAAGAGCAGGATGCTGAGGAGATCAGCTCCCATCTTATAAAAGCAAGGCCCAACGTTGGGTATTGCCCCCACAACCTCCATCAATTCCAGCCAGCATGGTCAGTGTTAAGCGAAGCCGCAATAAACAAACAAGAATATTCCAAAAGGTCTAATGAAAATAAGGTCTGCCTGCTGAGGGATATTCCACAAGGAGGGGGCCGATCTAGGCTTGGTCTATGGCTTCTCCAGGGGACAAAAACTGGGACAGTCTGAAACTCTGGAAAACTGCTAGTCAGTGTAGAGAACCTGTGACCAAGTCCAAATTTTGGACTCCAGAACCCATCATCCTTGACCGTTACCCATGCTGGCCTGAGGCTGATGGGAATTGGAGTCCAACAACATCTGTAGCCCCCACTCCTAGTGTAGGAAATACTGAATGAGGTGGGCCCGACAGTCTGAGCTGCTAAGTGACCCAACTGCACTAGCTGCCAATTAGTTTCCAGCCTCAATTCAAAGTGCTGGATTTGACCTTTAAACGGCCTAGGACTGCAATACCTTAAGGACCGTTCCTCTCCATATGAACCATCCCAGACTCTGTGTTCATCCTATGAGGCCCTTCTTTGTGTGCCTCCTTCATGCGAGGTCCGGAGAGGGGCAACACAAGAAGGGGCCTTTTCTGTGGTGGCCCCTCATTTGTAGAATGCTCTCCCCAGGGAGGCTCGCCTGGCACCTTCATTGTGCATTTTTAGACGCCAGGCCTGAAAACGTTCCTCTTAAACCAGGCATTTGGCTGATTGACATCCCATGCCTTTTTAAACGTGTTGTGGGATGGGGGATTCTTGGTTTTCCACTGTTCTTATTCTGTGGGTTTTTTTAATATTGTAATTTTATGTTGTGAACTGAGATCTATGGATGAAGGCTGGCATGCAAATGGAATAAATAAATAAGATAAATATGCCTGGATAGCTCAGTTGAGCGTGGTGCTAATAATGCCAAGGCTGAAGGGCTCAATCCCCATGTGGGACAGCTGCATATTCCTGCATTGTAGGGGGGTTGGACTAGATGACCCTCAGGGTCCCTTCCATTTCCCGGTCTCTGTTATTCTTGCTGTTGCCCATTCAGAAGAAACAACCAACTGCAGCAGGAATGGCAAGTTTGGCTTTCTTGTGACAGTGCAGAAAGGGCACTTCTCTAGTTAAACTGCACTGTTCATACACAATACTGTTTCACTGTTGAGATTCAGGACAATGCTTTTCCTCCTTGCAACTCAGCCAGGTTCAGTTTTTGAAGCAGGCATCCAATGCCTTTGCTCAGATGCGCTTGTGCTGCTTACAGATCCCGTTATTTTGCGGGCCAAGGTCCTGACCTAAAAGGGCTTTACCCAATTTAACAGATGGCTATTTCTGGCCATGAAAACAACACTTAACCGTCTGCAGAGCTGAAACAGACCGGGGGGGGGGAGGAGGGGGGGAGGAATCTGTAAGAAAGGATACAGGAAAGGGCAAAAAGGGAACAAATTTACAGCTCCTCCGTTAACAATAAAAAGCACAGGGAAAATTGGTGCGCACATGTTGCTAAATACCATCTTTGGATTTTGCCTTGTAAAAGATAATGGCATTAAAGAAATCCCTGCTGAAAATTAAATCTAAAAAGATGTTTTTTCTGTTTCTAACATTAGTGTGTAGGCTTGCCACAATTCCACTTTTATTGGGGACACACACACACTTCTGCTAATTCAAGTCAACTCTCATTCAAGGGGGGGGGGGGCAAATCCAATATGGGCTGCACATGGGAACTTCTCACCAAAAGAAAGTGTGTTGCATTAGATAAGCTTCACATTTCATCTAGTCCACGGGTAGCCAATGAGGTGCCCATCAGAAGTTACTGGACTACAACACCCACCATCCCTGCTCACTGGCCATGCTGGCAGAGGCTGATGGGAGTTGGAGTCCATCAACCTCTGGAGAGAACCATGTTGGCTGCAACTGAGTTAGCATAACCGAATGAGACTTAAGGGTAGGGGTGTGTGTGTGTGTGCACACTAGAGAAGGGCCAAATGCAGATATAATGACGGCCCCTTGCAAACCATGGTTTGGAAATGGAGAGAAAGTTTGCACTCCTCTCTTTTTTCCCTCAGGACAGTGCTAACTACCATCAAAAGTTAAGATGTGCCAGCCATGGTTCCCTCATAGACCAGCACTCGAAAACATGGTTTGAAGTGTGGTTGCAAATCATAGTTGATGAGGGAATCTGATCAGCATTAACCATGGTTTGGTGTTATGAGTGAGCGGCCTTGGGCTTACACGCACTCCTTCCTTGCCTTGCATGTGCAAACCATTTCTGGTTTGCAGCAACCTAGACTTTGTCATTATGTCTGAACCAAACCCAAATTGCTTAGAAGAACAGGGCCCCAAACCGTAGTTTGATGGGGGCTTCTGCAAGCCATGGTTAGCAGGGTTTGGACAAAACAGCAAACCATGGTTTGTGACAAACTAGGATAATAACATTCCCCATCAGCTGTGGAGTAACAGAAATTGAAATTACTAGTGCTGATAATACTAAATCACTTTTAACATCACATCTTAGTCCCAGAGAGAGAGATAAATGTGTGCGTGTGAGGGTTTGTAACATGCACCCACAGCTCTACAAAAATCCTTTAGAAAATGCGGGAGACTCGTTTCGTTTCCCATCAGAGTTGCTTGTTAGTTTTCTGTCATCTTCCTCTTGAATCTACTCTATGTCCTACTAAGCGCCTCACCCCACACCACCCCAGGCAGACCAGTCAAAAGGCCATCAAAATGTCTTGGGGGCACAAAAGCCTGCCATTAGAAGAGAGGGCTTTGCAATTCTACTTCTTCAGAAAAGCGATTTACCCAGAAAGGTTCCCTAAAAGACCTCATTCGCCAGGCATGACAGGAATACTGATTTACCCACCGCAAAGCCCCCCAAGAAGCCACTAGTCTGCACGAGGCAACTTTTCCCTGGAAGTGGAATGGCTTCTCATTTGTCATGGTGTCATTTTTTCTTACACCAGGCCCAGTAACAAAGAAACGTTATTTCCTCAGGGGAGAAAAGTTATAGAGACGGTGAAGGTCTTTCCTCTGCCCCATTCCTCACATGTGCACACAACCCCCTCCCGAGCGACCCACTGTCTCCCCCCTCAAGAGCCAAGGTCAGACAAAGCCTGGGCACTGGGACCGCCAACGCCTCAACTAATATCTGAGAACAGTTACTCACCTCTAGCGTGGTCAATACAATCTTCTCAACCGAAGAAAAATAAGCCTCCCACAAGAACTGTGTCTGCTGTCTAAGTGCTAGGATTTTATCCTGATGGATAGACCTGATTGTAGAAGGGATCTGTAATACAACGTTGAAACAAATCAGGCAGTGTAGAAAACATTGCAACCCGAGAACATTAAGGCACTTCTGGGGGCCTTTCCAGATGATCCGTTTACGGCACAATCAGTTTAGGTTTTATAGATCAGCGCATAGTGCATTTGGCTCCCATTTGAAGCACACAATCCACACTGTCAGACAACAGCAGCAGCCGTGATAGCAGTAATTGGAAATTGAATTATACAGGCTGCTCGTTTGTGCTGCTGTCTCTCTGTCCCACTTCCGACTGGACAGGCTGTGCTTCCCACACTTCTGAGAGTTTGCAAAATCAGAGACTTTTCCAGAACAAGATCGGTTAGCAACCTTACCCTGCCAGGGAGATCTCTTTTACCAAGTTAACAGCGCGCTGCCACTCTTTCCCTCCACCTTTAAAATGGTTGTGAGAATTTAGCATCAATGCCCTGTAGTTGTTATTCTTATTTTGGGGTTCCAGTGCCCTCAGTGTGGGTGCCCTATAATCTTTCAAAATCAGAAAGGTTCAGTTCCTTTCTCATTTCCCCCTTCTTCTCAGTAGTAGGAAGCTGGCTTGACTAGACAAGCAACCCCAACAGAGGCTGTATGACCTGACAGATATGACCCCTCAGATATGGTCCAATTACAGGCCAACCACTTTCTCCAAATCCTGCCTTAGCCCTACGATCTTTGGACATAGACTTAGGCTCCACGCTCTGCCACGATGAACAGTAGGCTTCTTACTGACTGTGGCACGATTAATGATAGCCCAGAAATGGAAGAACCAGAATGAAATACCCCTGGACATATGGGAAAATAATATCTGGGATACAGCAATATCTGAGCATCTTACCAGACACAGGAGGACCATTAAAGACATACTAATAGAGACACTTTCCAAGAAACGTGGACCCCTTTCTTTAATGTTAATGACCAAAATCAAGACCTCCTTATACCAACCACTCAATATTCTCAATGGAGAGGTTACGTTATGTCTGAATGCTGACTGTGTTAAGTGTATGTCTAGAGACAAGGGGTAAAACAAACAAAATTAGTTGTACTGCTAGATAATTGTTTAATGGTTGTTGTATTTGTTTCAAAACCAATAAAATTTTGTTTTTAAAAAAGATATGGTCCTGTACTGTCAATATATTAACTAGCTCAATGTGCTTCATTCCCAGTTCAACATGGCCACCCATAGGGAAAGTGGTTTAACTAGATTAGGGGTTGTCAGGATGGTGGCCTCCAGATATGGGACACAGGTGGCACTGTGGTCTAAACCACTGAGCCTCTTGGGCTTGCCGATCAGAAGGTCAGCAGTTTGAATCCCCGCAATGGGGTGATATAAGTGAAGGAACTTCTCTGACAGGTGAGCTCCCATTGCTCTGTCCCAGCTCCTGCCAATTTAGCAGTTTGAAAGAGCGCCAGTGCAAGTAGAAAAATAGGTACCACTGTGGCAGGAAGATGAACTGCATTTCCATGTGCTCTGGTTTCCGTCACGGTGTCCCGTTGCACCAGAAGCGGTTTAGTCATGCTGGCCACATGACCTGGAAAGCTATCTGTGGACAAATGCCGGCTCCCTCAGCCTGAAAAGCGAGATGAGCTCCGCACCCCATAGTCACCTTTGACTGGACTTAACTGTCCAGGGGTCCTTTACCTTTAATCTCCAGATATTCCTGGACTCCAGCTCTCATCAGCCCTGCCAGCTGGGACTATGGGTGCTACAGTCCAGCAATATCCGGAAAGCACCACATTGGCTACCCATGGGGACTAGATCACACGTGGCCAAAAACTAGATCATAGCATGAGCATGTCAATTTAGGCCAATGGGGCATCTTCTCCAATGTTCTGCTCTCACAGTGGCCAACCAGACACCTGTGGGAAGCTTGCAAATGGACATGAACGCAACACTCTGCCCACCTATGACTCATAGCAACTTATTCAGAGTCACACTGATAGCGGAGGTAGAACTTAGCCACTGCGGCTAGTGGCCACTGATACTAGATTTCCAGGGTACCACCTAATGCCTTCTGTTTCCAAGAATCCAAGCAAAGAACACAGGACTAACTAGACTTCGATCTATATCCAGCCAGGCTGGATTGTGTTCTTAAAAGCAGGAGTACCTACTTGGGACCAGTTAACCCAGCTGAGTTATGCTTTAATACCTTCCCAAGTGTGTGTTCTTGCTTTCTAATTCTTACACTCATTGCTGGACCACAGGGATTCGCGTTCCACAAACAAACAAGGGGGAAAAGAAAGAAATAGACCATGCAAGATTGAGGTTTGCCCAACTCATTGCCTTCAGGCACCTTGCAGATTCATTCAAGGAATATACGCGGACACAGCAAAATAAATGCACCCAGGTACTTTTCTGTTCTTCACTTTCTGCTGTTTATTTAGACAAGCTTATCTGAAAGGGGTGCAGAAATAAATCCTTCCTTTTGTTTGGAGCATAGTGTTTTCTCATTAGAGGGCTGAATTCCCTCTAAGCCTTTCAAATATTCATATATTTTTTCATATATTCTTTCCGGACTAATTATGCACAAGGAAAGCACCTATGTTTGCTTTTGATTTGTGCTGCTCTGCATTTTCCTCTTAGATATTAGATTACACACAGAGAATGCTTTCTCACTCACGCACACCCTTCTCACTTATCGGAGGGGGTTGGGGAAAATCCATTTCCCAATAAAATATTCTTAATTAGAATACATCTGTTCTCTGCATAGCCTCTTGGGAGGGGCAGCTGGAACAGCTTGGTGGCAAGGATCTCCTTATGTCAAGCACAGATTTCATATAGACTTGGCATCAAGTTCAACTAAAAGCAGCTCAGTTTGAAATGCCCAACTTTCCTGAGATTGCTTCAGCAAAACATTAAGCCCATAATGAATGTCAGGTGTGAAACAAAAGGTCCCAAGACAATGGGATAGGTTGTTGAACTACAAAGTGGGTTCTCCTTCATGGAGAGCACGTGTTGCGGTGGGAGCAACCATGACATCCCCTGTTGCTGGGCGGGTTAGTTTGGATGGCCACGGATTTGACTGGGCACCTCCAATGTTGCTGGGGAAAATTGATTTTTGCAATTTTATTTGATTGATGGGGGTGCTATATAGGTCCCTGTGCGCAGCGTTAAGCTTCTTCTTTTCACTGCGCACATCGGATTACCCGCCCACCCTCCCTTTATTTAGGATTTGTTTGCACCGACCTTGCTATGCCTGTCATGGGGTCATTTGCTTTGGGGCAGGGGCCTGGTAGGAATTTCACCATTTGGCTGATTGGCTGGTGCCATTTGGTTTTGCCTACTTGGTAGCAAATCGTTACAACTTGTAAGGTTGCAGTTAGGCATTGGTTAATTTTTGGGTTGGTGGAGGGGATGTGGTTGGCTGTGCCTGCCTCTCCAATGCTGCTGCTGCAAGGGTATTCCATTAAAGGAATCCAAGGGCTCACCATGCTTTTGTCCGTATCCCTGGCAAAGGGCTAGGGCCATGCAAGAACCCCAGGGAGCCCTTGGGGAGAGGGGAGAGCCTGGTGCCCAGCTTTTTCTCTCCCCAAAATTGTTTACCCCTACTGACTTCCGCATGGGTGTGGTTGTCAGTTCTGTTCCTACCTCCAAGTGGGAACCGATAGTCGCTAACCAATGCCTAAGCAACCACTCACTTACTGTAATTCAATAAAGTTGTGGCCAAAATTATGCCAAAAACGAAAAAAAAGGGCCAGGAGGAGGAGAACAGCCAGATATATCAACCTTTCATAGCCAGACCAGGACTGCTGAGACCCTGGTTATTATGCAGAAGGTGCATTTTTCCTATGATGCTAGAGTATTATTTAAAAACTGCTCAGTTGCCTTTCCAAATAACCTCTTCCTAAGGCAGATTGCAACAGATAACCTAATACCCAAACCTAACTGTGCAATCAGAAGCGAGTCCCATGTATCCAATGAGGGTTACTCATGAGTAAGCGCATTTATAATTGCAGCCTACTTTCACTTATTTTTTTCACTAAACCGGTATTTTGAATTGTTCTTGCAGCCTTGCTCATGGCTAAAACGTTATAGGGCGAAAATATCTGGGCAATATGTACAGGTAGAATGTTTAATGGCCACGTGCATTTGGAGACAGGTTTTTTGCAATGTTTAAGCGTATGCATTTTTACTTGTTAGGCAGCTATTTTTGTAGTATAAATTTGCATTGATCGCATTAAGTTATTTTTGCCCAAGTGCTTTCAGCCGAATCTTTTGATAGATACCTGTGTGTGCAACGAAGAAGCATCAAATCCATTAGACAGAGTGAGCCATTCATATTTGCAAAGCAGGGGAAAAGCTTATTTTCTAAACTATATATTTTTGTGTGAGTTGATTCGCTTCTAACAGATGGGAGCCGAAACCAGAGCTCCCATTTTTAACCGTGCTTGGCTATTTGCTATTAATCTTCTTGGCCTAGAAGTTAGGTGTGGGAAATGATGGATCTGTGCTGATCTGCCACAAATACACTAGAATTATTAGAAAGGGATGACGTTTTAATAGCAGGTCATTTGTGTAATAATGGGGAAGAGAAGGTGGGGAGGGGGAATGACTTTTGCATTAAAAAAGGGGGGTAGGATGGGGGGGGGGAGAGAGAGAGAGAGAGAGACAGAGAGCGTCTAACTGGTTCAAGCTTCCCTGGAGTGGGAGCTGGTGCAAGGATGAAGAGAATATGTAAATAAAAACATCCGAGCTAGTCTAAAAATGAGAAATGGGAAACTGTAACACAACAAAAACATTTCCCAGAGCAGACATTCTGGCTCAGCGCCAGGTCTTTAAAAACCACTGTTAATAATGGCATAGTAGCTTGCCTTGGTAAGGAAGCAGCTGTGAAGAGAATCAATTCTGCATTACAAGAACAGGACAAAGATTTGGAACATTAATGTCCCCATGTGGGGAGGCAAGTGGAGGGGGGGAGAGAAGAGAGGGAGACCTGGAATCCTTCCTTCCCTTTGCCTTCTGCAACCAGAAAGCCCAGATCCTGCAGCTGGGTCATGCAGATTTTCAAAATGTGCAAGATTTAGATATTTCGGTTGCATGGCAGGGGCCATAATCAAGCAATAGAGCTGTGCTGGACTGCTGGATAGCTCAGCTGGTTCAAGTGTGGATAACACCAAGGTTGCAGGTTTGATCCCCATATGGGATAGCTGTATACAGTGGTACCTCAGGTTAAGTACTTAATTCGTTCCGGAGATCCGTACTTAACCTGAAACTGTTCTTAACCTGAAGCACCACTTTAGCACGCTGCCGGAGCACGATTTCTGTTCTCATCCTGAAGCAAAGTTCTTAACCTGAAGCACTATTTCTGGGTTAGTGGAGTATGTAACCTGAAGCGTATGTAACCTGAAGCGTATGTAACCTGAGGTACCACTGTATTCCTGCATTGCAGAGGGTTGGACTTGATGATCCTAGCTTTACAAGTCTTTGATTCTATGCTTTGCACGCGAAAGGACCCCAGTTTCAGTTCCTTGCATCCAGATGCATCAAGATGCAGGGATTTGCCTCTGTTTCCCTGACGTTGGAAGAGCAGACAGAGGTGCATAAAATCAGGACCGGCAGGGAGAAAATGAATAGGGTGAATTTTCCCTTCCTCTCTTGCTGTCAGGCCTGGGGGATTCTCTCCGCCCCCGCCCCCCCGTAGCATCAAAGAGCAAGGAAGAAACAAGAAAGTATTTATGGTTTTATTCAGTCATCGTGGTGCAAGACAAAGAATCCTGTCCTTTACTCCATAGTGACATTGCTCACTCTGAGCTCCTGCCCTTCTCTCCCCAGCAACAGCTCTTGGCTCTTTGAGGGGGGGGCAGTAGTCAAATGTCCTTGAGCCCATTGCTCTTGAACTCTAATTGGGCGATGAGATCTCGGGAAGTTTGGCTCTTCTATGCTTTCCAAGCTGGCTGTTCTCCCCCTCCTTCTCCTAACACCTCATAACTAAGCTGTTCTGAGTTCTGCTGTAATTCAATCCTGTCTCCCTCTTTTCTGGAAGCTACTGGAGAAGGGTGGGGGGGGCAATCTCAACCATTCCCCGTCCTCCTCCGAGGGAAGCAGAGGAGAAGGAGGGGGTGATCTCCAACCCTCCTTCTCCCCCTCCTCTTCGGTCCAGTCCCTGACAATACTGGGTCATCCAATTAAGACGAATGGTGGGAGATTCGAGACAGACCAAACAGAGGGCTGCTTCACACAGGGCGTAATTCAACGGCAGAACCTGCTACTTGCAAGGAACAGCAATGGTCACCAACTCAGATGGCTTTCATGGGAGGTTAGATAAATTCACGGAGCCTCATGCTATTAATGGCGATCGATTAGGATGGTTGTGCACTGCCTCAAGAGCCAGAGGCAATATGCCCCTGAATACTAGTGAATATAGTTAAAGCCATGGTTTTCCCAGTAGAGATGTATGGAAGTGAGAGCTGGACCATAAAGAAGGCTGATCGCCGAAGAATTGACACTTTTGAATTATGGTGCTGGAGGAGACTCTTGAGAGTCTCATGGACTGCAAGAAGATCAAACTTATCCATTCTGAATGAAATCAGCCCTGAGTGCTCACTGGAAGGACAGATCCTGAAGCTGAGACTCCAATACTTTGGCCACCTCATGAGAAGAGAAGACTCCCTAGGAAAGACCCTGTTGGGAAAGATGGAGGGCAGAAGGGGATGACAGAGGACGAGATGGTTGGACAGTGTTCTCAAAGCTATGAACATGAGTTTGACCAAACTGTGGGAGGCATGGAAGACAGGAGTGCCTGGTGTGCTCTGGTCCATGGGGTCACAAAGAGTCGGACATGAATAAACGACTGAACAACAACAACAACAAAATGGGAGCAGGTCCACTGCTTTCAGGATGTCCACAAGTATCTGGTAAGCCGCTGTGGAAACAAAACGGCCTTGAGCCCCAGGGCTCACCTTATGTCCTCACTCATTACAGAATGGTATATTTCAAATTACTGGAGAAGGAGGAATGGTATCTTAAGATGTTGGAATATGCAGCATTAGCAGGTCTGATCAAGATGATAGAACGTACAAAGAAGATTGGAAAATATTTGTAGATTACCGTATTTTTCGCTCTATAACACGCACCAGACCATAACACACACATAGTTTTTAGAGGAGGAAAACAAGAGAAAAATATTCTAAACGAAATAGTGGATATATGATTTTTGTGGTTCATGCTGTGGCCACAGACATGTGATCTGACAGTGAGTTTGGAGTAGCCCAATGCAAAAATCCTGAGGATCCATGTGGATCCATGCTTTGTAACCACGGAGGAGGGAAGGAAGGGGAACCATGGATCCTCTGCTCACGACTGCAGCAGATCTCCCCCACCACCCGCAGGCATTCGCTCCATAACACGCACAGACATTTCCCCTTACTTTCTAGGAGGAAAAAAGTGAGTGTTATGGTGCAAAAAATACGGTATATTAAAAGTCAGTGTCGGCAGGTAAATGCGTTAGCAGGATTAGAGTAGATTCAGCGGTATAAGGTAAAGTGAGGTAAAAATAAGATGAGAGGGGAAGGTATGGAATATTTAGCATATGCAGAGTAGATGGGTAACTGAAGACACCATGGAAGGAGGGGGAGGGAAATCAAGACTATTGGGAGTGTTTGGGTGGTTATTGTATAAATGTGAAATATGTAACAGAAAAGCAAATAAAATTTTTATATACAAAATGGTATCTTTGTGTGGGCCTGGCCTGACTGTGTAGCTTGGCTGATCTCACTTTCTCTTCCCAAGAAACTACTGGTTTGCAATAATTGGCCCATGGAAGAGGCGAAAAAGATCCAAGGGACATGTCTATCCTTTCCCTATGTTTCTACATCATATCCCATCGTGAAGCCATTCTGAGCTGCCCCCAAATAATGTCTTGTAGTGTGGAATACTATTGCATCCAACTTCCTGTCCCCCTAGAGAAAGGGGAATAGGAGACTAGGAAGGGTCCGGTGTCTTGTTTTGAGGAATATGAACTTTGAAAATTCCCGTACTGATCTGCAGCTCTTGGACTAATGTGTGGATTGGAACTTAGCTACCCAACAGAATCTACCCTTCGGATGTTTAAACCATCAAAACACGCATATAAATGCGTACTTTGAATGAAAAGTACACGTCTGCACCTCAAAACACCTATTTAAGTCTGTTGACTTCAACTGGTCTCTTGTGAGGGTAAGTCAGATACCAGCCATTGAGACCGTTCAGAACCATGAATATCTTGGAAGTTGAAAGAAACTTTTCCCTTCCAAGCACTTTGCAACTCAGAAGCTCGTGTGCATTTCTCTAAAAAAAGAAATGAGCTGCTCGTACATTTTTAACCAAGACATTTGGAGGCCTGAGTGACCTTCATGTCAGAAAGTGAATGATGCCTTATTAAATGAGTTAATATTCACAATGACACAGACAAATCCCTCCTGATAAAAATCTCTTTTATAGCCATGACCTTTCGGATACATCTTTCCTGGAAGTGTGGGAAATGGCTGCCACTGTCAACCACTCTGACGAAGGCCGCGGTTTCTCCCTCCTCTCCCCTCCCCCGCCTTACCTGTAATAACAATCTCTCATCCCCTATGACGGCAGCTTGATTCCAATCAATCACTTCGGAGAATGGCAGCTCCCATCCATTGCTGAGCATCACAGGAACACAGGCAGCCTGCGTAGGCAATCATTAAAATCAGGAAAATGGAAACAATTGCAGCAAAGGCACGCTGGCCCTTCCAAGGCCCCGTGGCAATGAAATTGCAGCCTATTCTGCAGAACTGGGACTTTAATAGAGAATTATGTTGAAAAGTATTGTGGGACCACTGTCATGCCACATTCTGAGGATCACTGAACCTTGGGTCTGGCAGGTCCACTATTGGAGGGCTCATATACTCAGACCACAGAGACAGAGTGGGAAGCCTATCAATGGAGTGGGCCTTGTTTATTCCCTCTAATGCCTGGCTACTTGCATGGGTACACACAGATTGGTACAGGCCCGTTGGTACACCCCTGTGTGGGCTTGCTGTTGGGTCAGAAGGTCCAGCAAATGCAGAACACGGCAGCTACGTCGCTGCGTGGGCCACCCTATCGCAATCATATTGCACCGGTTCTGGAGGGTTTGCCATGGCTACTAATTGGCTACTGAGCCAAAACGAAGGTGCTTATTATTTTTTAAAAAATAAAAAATAGGATTTTTATATTAAAGATTTTCAAAACACAGAAAAGTACATGGCACCTCCCCTTTCAATTCACAGAGCCTTTTTCATGGTTCATTTACACATAGTGAGAGACGCCTTTGTCACAGACATCTTGCACTTGGGGGAAAAGAGAGGGGAGAGAGAGAGATGGGGGTGTTGTTCTCTCATTCTGTCACACAGTGTTAGCGTAGCGGGTAGGTTCTTTGTGTGTGTATACACCCACCCACCCACTGAGAGAGGTTACGAGGGATGAAGGTGCTTTTGTTGATATACAATGCCCTAATGACTTCAGGTCTGGATAGCTGGAGGAAGGCCTGCACCCACAAAAGACCTTCCTGCATGTCGAGGTCCTCAGAAAAGGCTCTCCTGGTTTTACCGACCCCAGTTGAAGCACATTCCATGGCAACCCAGTGGGGAGGGCCTTCTCTGTGGTGGCACCCAGCCTACGGAATTCCATATCCTCTAAAGAAGGCGGGTCTAAACTCTGATGAGCTTTGGGTGCCTCCTTAAAACTCACCTGTTCACCCAGGCCCCTGCTGGCTATTAATTCCTAGCTTGGTTATATCAGTGATTAGAATTTTAGATTTTAATATATGGATTCCATTGTATTCTATTTATATCTCTCGGTAGCTCCAGCACCTTCAGAGTGTGGGGGAATTCCAGCCGGGAAGAGACCTTTCCTGAAGCCCTTCTCCACAGGGCTGCTTCCAGCAACTTCATTTTACAGCTTCGGTCATACTCTCTATCTTGGCCTTTGATGGTTTGGGCGTTTTGTTTTGTGGGATCCAAATTTGTAAACGCGGCATCTTTCCTTTTAAAGGCATGGCCTCCTGCACCTCCACTTGTGTGCCATGGTAACAGGCTCATTTCCTTTCAATTCACAACTGTGCCATTCACAACTGACCCTACCGTTTCCAGTGCCTGCTGTTTTGAAATCCTGGTGGATCAATGCGGGGTCAAGGACAGACGTCACCGCGGCAAAGAAGAACACTCCCGACCCCAGCCTTTTGCTGCAGAGATGCCCTTTATTTTTTAACAGTTATTTTCATGCCATTTTAACCCTGGGCGTGCTCTCCCCGGCAGATCGCTTCCCTGTCGCCTGCCTGTTCAAAATCCAACCTAATTGATGCCGTCACTTAAAACTTACTTAGTATGCAATGTGAAAACCCGGGCAGAATTTATAGGCAATTTTGTCTCGGCTGAATTAAAACAATGAGCTGTATTATTTATTTCCTCCTAACTTCCTGGTTGGATGAAGTCAGTGTTTCTCCAGGAATATAGATTCTCTCTACCCCACCACCCAGCACAAACTCCCCAAGTTCAACAAACCCTCTTAGGCTAAGTTAGGGTTACCAGACGCCCCCGGTTCCCGGGGACAGTCCCCAGATTTACAAATCTGTCCCCGGACAAATTCCATCCCTGGAATGTCCCCAGATTTGCAACTCCGTCCCCGGGAAACGTGGCAGCAGCATCCTGGTAGCGCAGTTGGCTCTGGCTGGCTTCAGGAGCTGCTCGCTACTCGCTGCCGCCACCACTGCCAAAGGTGAACCGGGGACGACTGGTGGTACAGAACTCCTGCCCCCTTCCCCTTTGTTTTCACAGATTGGGGGAGGCTCAGGAGTCGCGGGCACATGGCTGTTGCCCAGGAGGGGCACAAGGCGCACGGTTTCTCTGCCAGGCAAGGTGCAAAGCCCTTCTTTTGCACCCTGCGAAACACAAATGCGCAGAGTTTTTTTTAAAAAACTGGGCAACGGCGTGCTGCCTGCCCGCGACTCCCGAGCCTCCCCCGATCTGTCAAAACAAAGGGGGAAGAGGGCAGGAGATCAGGGAAGGCTTGGGAGTCACGGGCAGGCAGCACGCCGTTGCCCAGTTTTTTAAAAAACTGTGCATTTATGTTTCACAGGGTGAGAAAGAAGGGCTTTGCACCTTTATACAATATGCATGTGTGCTTGGGCCCAGGGTCTTTTGCCTCACCATCCCCACTACTGACTCCCTGTTGCTACTCAGCTTCAAGTAAGTAAGTAAGTAAGTAAGTAAGTGTCCCCGGATTCATTGAAAAAAATCTGGTAACTATAGGCTAAGACAACCCAGCTTTGGTGCGGGCAAAATAGCTGCTGACTGCTCCTGAAGTAGGAACGCTGGATTATGGACTATTAGGGAAATGAAATCTCCAATCCGCCTTCCTCTTGCCTGGCTATCACGCAGCACAGAATTCCAGCTGACAGGAGTGCTAAACGGCTCTAAGTCTCTAGTCAAACGGTTGATCTTACCTGCAGGGCCTCCAGGAACCTGAAGGATCCCAGCCTCCGGCCACGAGGGACGAGACAGAAAGTGGCATTGTGCAGCATTTCACGATAATCATACCTAACAGGAGACAGAGAGGGGGAAAATAATAAATTAACAATGACCCTGGGAGTAACTGTGCATGCAAATGTAAACATCTGGTGCGGCACATCTGGTTAGACTCATCGCCGGACCAGCTCACATCTGCAAAGCTGGCATCGCATTAGGGGAGACACAACAGGAATAAAAGCAAAAAAGAGATAGGAAAACAAATGTAGATGGCAATATGAAAGCAACTGAGTGACGCTGAACTGAGTCCCCGTCCTCGGTGCTGGATTTACATATAAGCTAAACAAGCTATAGCTTAGGGCCCCACTCTCTTGGGAGACCCCAAAAAAACTTAAAGAAAAGAGAAACACCTGGGTGTACATTTCCAAAATATAAGATAAAAACCAAATAAAATAAAACCTACATACAGAAACAGTGTTTTGTGTTGTGTAGGTTCCTATGATGTAAGTAATGGTGCCCCGCTTTCTAGCCTGCTCCCTAAAATATCATTGGTTTGCTTATTTCTATATATAGGCAATGACAAACCTAGACAGCATCTTAAAAAGCAAAGCCATCACCTTGCTGACAAAGGTCCGTATGGTTTTCCCAGTAGTGATGTATGGAAGTGAGAGCTGGACCATAAAGAAGGCTGATCGCCGAAGAATTGATGCTTTTGAATTATGGTGCTGGAGGAGACTCTTGAGAGTCCCATGGACTGCAAGAAGATCAAACCTATCCATTCTGAATGAAATCAGCCCTGAGTGCTCACTGGAAGGACAGATCCTGAAGCTGAGGCTCCAATACTTTGGCCACCTCATGAGAAGAGAAGACTCCCTGGAAAAGACCCTGATGTTGGGAAAGACTGAGGGCACAAGGAGAAGAGGACGACAGAGGACGAGATGGTTGGACAGTGTTCTCAAGGCTACCAGCATGAGTTTGACCAAACTGTGGGAGGCAGTGGAAGACAGGAGTGCCTGGCATGCTCTGGTCCATGGGGTCATGAAGAGTCGGACACGACTAAACGACTAAACAGCAACAACAACAATATATAGGGTGCCTACATTCTGCATGTGGAAAGGGCTTTAGATACCTATTAGGTCCATAAATTACCATATAGCATATATTCAACACAAAAAACAGCACAGACAATTTGTTGTTGATAAAGGACAGCTGGACACAGAAAGGACCCCATTACCTTCAGTAGCTTAGCGCCTCATCAAACCTAAATCCGGCCCTGGCCGTCCTACAGATTATTTCTGTTTAAAAGCAATGGAGGACGGGCAGACAAAAAATGGGGGGTCAAGGAGGGTCGGTTGTGGTGGTGGGGGGAGTGGGAAACGTCCCTATTTTCACCTGAGGAATGTTGGAGGGTGTGGGGTTTGCAGTGCAATGCTGTCACTGGTAAGAGAAGCAGAGAATGGGGCGACTTTTAACGGAGGTTCAAGGAGACAGGGAGACTGAATGCAGGGAGAGAAAACATGAGAGAAAACAGAGATGGAGAAGAATTTGGTTTGGTCCACATTTTTAACTGAATGGCCCTCATTTTTGCCTCCTAGGTTTGTACATCAATTTGAATGCAATTCTTTGGCATTCACTTAAAATCATCACGGAGTATTGTGGAAACAGGGTACGCCAAACACATGGAAAAGTGACGTGTGTCAGAAATAGACGACCCATCTCACTAAAAGGGAACCCGGGCTTGGAATTTGTCCTGCTTTGCTGTTCTTTGTAAACGCGACAAACATTGCAAACATTGTCTATTTTTCTCGTCTTGGGATTTTTGGTTTCACATTGTAAACTACCCTTGGGAGAAGCTGGGATTAATATTATGTCTTCATATTAAACAACACAAAAAACATACAGCATCTCTTTTGACTAAGCAGCAGAACAAAAACCATTTGTTGTTTGGAAAACGGTCTTGAGATGCATTTCTGAGCTCAACAGATGCTATTGCAATTTTTGTCGCTAGAACGATCTTGGGCTGAGGAAGATTGGCTCCGATTAATGTCGGATTGTTATCATTTTTTAATATATCTACGTTTGGAATATGTGATTAATGAATTGATTTAATGCACCCCATTAAGTCACTCATGCTTTCCATTCTGGAAATATTGATGCAAAAGCTGCCCCACGAAGGCATCCATTTATTGTCACTGGAGAAAGAGGCTTGACAACCAATACAGCCAACCAAGAGCAACCAGGCACCAATACAATCTCACCTTAATCAACCCAGTAAAGGATGAAAAATGGCTAAAAAGAGTCAGATTGTGTAACTGTGGGCCAGCAGGGGACAAATTAGCTGGGCTAGGGAGGGAGAAAGAGTGATTCTAAATGTGTGTATGTGTGTGTGTGTGTGTGTGTTGTGATGCAAGACTGGTTTGGAGAAGAAATTTTGGCAATTAAGCACAGAGGACTGGTGACCCCCGTTTCTCAAAATTAAAGGGTTTAGCTAGACCCTACTGCTTTCTTTCCAATTCCATCAATCATTTCAGAACCATTTACCAAAAACACACATCAAATCCCTAACAGTTTCAAGCCAGTTATTAGCTAATTGTGCTTTTGGCAAACCTGCAAATGGCTCTCAACTTGCCAGCCTGCTGGTTCCAAAGACAAAAAGGATCAAGACTGAATATCTCCTTGTCCCCCACCCCCGCCCCACCTCACATCTCTTAAACACACACATGCACCTTCCTTTTCAACAGAGATTTCTGTACTCTGCAAATAGTATAGTAAAATAGTCAATTTTTTACTTTGACAATAAAATCCTGCACAAAAACTTCGCAATGTTAATAAACTCATTTAATCATAGGCTGCAGACACTGAATGTTTTAAAGGTATTCTCTCTCTGTGTGTGAGAGAGAGTGTGTGTGTGATACATCTATACTGTACATGGACATATACATTTCTGCTTTTATATTTAGTCTCAAGAGGCTGTGAAGACTGCAGTAAACTAATTTTCAATTACAGGCCCCATCATTAGTAGAGTCCCATTTGCTGAAAGTAGTGTGTATAACTTGCATGGGAATAAGCGTGGTTGTATGGGAAAAAGCCACTTGGAATGGATTAAGATTCCCTCCACCACGGCCCAATGTAATTCCAAACTACAGAAGATGCAACTTATAGGCTGTATTAAAAAAGAATAAAACCCTGCAATCTCATCCCGTCTCCCTTTTTTATACAGTGGTACCTCAGGATACAAGGGATGTGGGTTGCGCTGTGGGTTAAACCACAGAGCCTAAGACTTGCCGATCAGAAGGTCGGCAGTTCGAATCCCCATGACGGAGTGAGCTCCTGTTGCTCGGTCCCTGCTCCTGCCAACCTAGCAGTTCGAAAGCACGTCAAAGTGCAAGTAGATAAATAGGTACCGCTCCGGCGGGAAGGTAAACGGCGTTTCCGTGCGCTGCTCTGGTTTGCCAGAAGCGGCTTAGTCTTGCTGGCCACATGATCCGGAAGCTGTACGCCAGCTCCCTCGGCCAATAAAGCGAGATGAGCGCTGCAACCCCAGAGTCGGTCACAACTGGACCTAATGGTCAGGGGTCCCTTTACCTTTACCTTTACCTCAGGTTACATATGCTTCAGGTTACATACACTTCAGGTTACAGACTCCGCTAACCCAGAAATACTGCTTCAGGTTAAGAAATTTACTTCAGGATGAGAACAGAAATTGTGCTCTGGCGGTGCGGTGGCAGCAGGAGGCCCCATTAGCTAAAGTGGTGCTTCAGGTTAAGAACAGTTTTAGGTTAAGAACGGACCTCCAGAACGAATTAAGTACTTAACCCGAGGTACCACTGTATCACCTTTTAAAACCAACTTTTTCTTGAACCTTCTCCCTTAGATTTACACAAAACAATTTGACAAACTATAGCTGCAATGATGCGCAGTTAAGCTGATCCAATTCCAACCAGCCAACCAAATCCATATACAGTGTGTATGGAGAGAATTCTAGGAAGTCTACTATGAACAAGTGACAACTGACTCCCAAAATGCCTGTGTCTTAGAATCACAGCATTGTAGAGTTGGAAGGGACCACAAAGGTCATACCCCCCCCCCGATATTTTTTTGCCCAAGGTGGGGCTCAAACATATGACCCTGAGATTAAATGTCTTATGCTCTGCTGACTGAGCTACCCCAGCTGCTGCATCTGTTCCTTTCAACAGCACTGAAATTTGCAGAAACCAGCAGGCGAGGCTTTTCCAGATGTGGTGAGTATCATCACCATCTTCTCATGCCTGCACATCTGGCTGCACTTGAAAGCACAGGAGCAAGGGCTAGTAAAAAAAGCTGGCAGTAAAACACTGGAAAGGGACGAACAGAAGTGCCTGTGAGCTCTCGTTTGCAGGCACGACGCTATTCTGTGTCACCAGGCTTATAAAACAGGGCAGCACGTACTCTGCACTGGAATAAAATTAAATCTACCCACCTAGGCATTCCAAATTCAGCACAACGGTAAAGCCAAATCCCACAATCTGCACAGGTTATGCAAACTGGGAGAATGCCAAATTGCTTTTATTTTGCAAACACCCTGCAACCTTTATGCATTTTCAGCAATTGTTTGCTTAGTCACGGAATGAGCCAAGAGAGACCCCCAGACCTCAGCCTCCAACCACTGGAGATCTTATTTAGCTAGGCAGCCACCCACCTGGTTTCTGAAGTTCCTCAAGCATATCTCCACATCCATAAGGACCAGAAACTTGCCATAAAAACAGAAAACAGAAGAAAGAAAGCAGAGCTATTCAGGAAACCGGACCCAGATTTCGTACCACATTCTGCGTTCCTGAGGAATCACAGCATACATCCCACCCTGCTTATATCAGCAGGATAATTAACAACACCGATTTCTTTTTCTCCGCATGGACAGCAGATTGACCTTACAATTCAACAGCTTGCTTGGCACCATTCATGGGAGGAAAGCCACATTAAGAAGAGAGAGTTAAAAAACCGAAGTTGCTATCTCCCCATTTCTAAGCACCAGCCTTTTTCTTCCCCTCAGTGTTTGTCGCACGATGGGAAAGTTTAACATGTACTAGAATAGCTTCCCCCTTTAGGGCTAATATATGCCAGTCCTATATTTCCCATCATTAATGTGCTAAAAATGTGAAAATCCAGTTAATGTTCTGGATAGCTACAAGCTCTGCAAAATGTCAGTTTTAGAGACGACATAAGAAAGAAAGTAATTCAAACTCTTAAAAAATAAAAAGCAGGCTAAGAAATGTGAATGTGGCAAATTTTCTATGCTGGAACATCTTTCCTCCCCTATAAACTCGTCTGCTACTGAGATGCAGATCCTGAGGTTTTCAATGCTGAGTCACAGAAAGTCTAACCACCTACCTCTACCCTTCAAACATGGATAGCCGTGTGAGATGATCAAAGAAGAGCATGATGGGAATATCTACACTTGCTATTGGTCCAAGCTGGGGAAGGCTTCATAGCTCATTGGTAGAGCTTTCACCTTGCACGCAAAACATCCCAGGGTTCAGTCTGACTTGTAACCGGCTCCCCCTTTGTATCGGGCATGCTAGAGAGATGGGAACACAATTTCCTCTCTTCCCGGGTCTCACTTCTCTTGTCCTATGTGACATGCTCTGGAGAAAAGGAGAAGTTGTGTTTCCCTTCCTCTGGCTGCGTTGGTGCAAACTGGGGTTCCCAAATCAACCACAATGACCAGTGGGATGGTAAGGAAAGGTTGGTTGTCTCTCTTTATAATGGGGCTTCCTGAAATAATAATAATAATAATAATAATTATTATTATTATTATTATTATTATTATTATTATTATTATTTATACCCCGCCTATCTGGCTGGGTTTCCCCAGCCACTCTGGGCGGCTTCCAACAAAAGATTTAAAATACATTAAAACATCAGTTATTAAAAACTTCCCTAAACAGGGCTGCCTTCAGATGTCTTCTAAATGTTAGATAGTTGTTTATTTTTTTGACATCTGATGGGTGGGCATTCCACAGGGTGGGCATCACTACCAAGAAGGCCCAACGCATAGGGCTCCTTCCTCTTCTCTCAGGACTCTTAAGAGAAGCACAGTCTCTCTCCACCCCACACCAGAGGAACGTGAGTGACACTATTGCTCCACTTCCTTCAGCACGGTCCATACCAGGATAGGGAACTGAGGGTCGCAGAAGGAGCTCCATACCTCTCTATCCGGCCCTCAAGACTCTACATAGGCCACACACTCTCCTGAGCCACTGCCCTCACTGCCTATGATTTGCCCCCATGAACTGAGCAGTTTGGGCTGGGATATGTTACTGAATTCCAAAAATGCTTCTGAGTTACCTGGATTGAGGATAGGGAGAGCTGTGTGGGTACGTAGAAACCAGTCTTCTGTGTCCCTATTTGCGTCAAGGACTGGCTGGACAAGGAAGAGTGGAGGGCGCCGCTTGCCCAAGAGACCCCCAGGGATGACACCGAAGAAGAAGACTTAGATCATGGATCATGGGACACTGGGGAAGGGACGAGCTGGGAGGTGCTAGAAGCAGGAGGTTAGAGCAATCAAGGGGAGTCAGAAGAAGGATGCCCTTCCAGGACAGAGATGGAGGCTGAGAGTCTCAGTGTGAGCACAGACTCAAAGTCATAGGTTGCTCCTGGAACCCAGCAGCAGGACAGGCCCAGTCCTGCTGGGTCCCCTCCTCCCGTGACACCCTGCCAGAGGAGAGTCTTGCTGAGCATCCGACCAGGCAGGCCCAGAGGGGGAGCCCACCCCCTCACCACAGTCTCTGTCTGCTTGGGAGGGATCCAGAGGTAGAGGCTGGAGGGGGAAAGCAGGGGTCAGTTTCGTCTCCAGCTAGATGAGAAGAGCCAGAGGAACTTAGTTGTGTCATTACTTTCTGTGAATAACAGCTAATCGCATTATGAGTCTCAAGTTATTTCCTGCCCTGTGGATGGCCTGTAAGCTTGCCCGACAGCTCCTTGACACCTACTGTACCAATGTAAAATTCACGTTTACAGTGGTACCTCGGGTTAAGAACTTAATTCGTTCTGGAGGTCCGTTCTTAACCTGAAACTGTTCTTAATGTGAGGTACCACTTTAGCTAATGGGGTCTCCTGCTGCCTCCGCGGCATGATGTCTGTTCTCATCCTGAAGCAAAGTTCTTAACCTGAGGTACTATTTCTGGGTTAGCGGAGTCTGTAACCTGAAGTGTCTGTAACCTGAAGCGTCTGTAACCCGAGGTACCACTGTATAGGAATCGTCCCCTGTCCTAACTGGAGAAGTCTGAGACTGAACCTGGGAACGTCTTGCACACCAAGCATGCGCTTTGCCACTGGGCTGCTGACCCTCCTCAAGAAAGCAGAAGAGCATAGCTAAAGGACGGGCAGTTGGCCACCTCTCCTTTACCTCCTTCAAGTGGAAAAACGGGCCTGGTTGGATCCACCTGTATACCTACTGCCTCATCTCTATCTAGATCCGCTCGTGCTTGCAGACCTCACACAGCATTTTGGCAGCGGTTTCTATAGGTTAATTATGAATTGTGAGTAATTTGGGAATTCCAAAAGAGGAAAAAAAGAGTTGGCACCATGCGTGCGTTCACATCTTATTAAGAGCTGAATATCTTTAACAATATCCTACTTAGGGGCTGTCCCTGAAGGGACAGGAGATAGACAGTTGGTAACCTTTTAAGAGAAATGGATTAGTTCATTATATTAGACTTGGAAGGCGATCAAGGAAAATTTGAGGCCACTTTTGGAATACAATCACGATATGAAGGTAAAGTAAGGGCGGGGACTACCCAGAGACATTTTAATCAAATTATACAGCAATGGACTTAAGAAACTAATTGAGCAAGCCTTATGGCAAAATAAAATAAAACGGGGGGAATAAAAATCCGAGTCTGCTTTAATCAGGCAAATATCCAAGTGTTTTTTTGAACTTCTCGCCAGAAACATTAAAGAAGCACGCAGTGCAGTCCCTGCTGCGTTGACCCACTCAGTGAGACCCACTGAGCTCATTGAGGCGACTCCCTAGTGAGTTTGCTTTAGGATTGCAACGGGAGACAGCTTTAAAGTCTGGGAGTACTGGCTCAGCACAAAACAAAATCAGTTTGCAAGGTGCGTTTTCCACCAGAATAAATTCATTTTACATGGGGAGAAGGGCTGGGGGTGGGTGGGTGTTTGTGTGCAGGGCCGGTTCATGGGAATGTTGAGGTTGGGACTCCAAGAAAGCCGAAGGGCCGGCTGACCCCAAAGACCAGGTAGATTAGAGGCAGCATGAGGGAACTGAAAACAACCATAGACACCTACCCTACCGAGTCATGCAAACCAACCCAATGGGTAACGCTTCTGCAGTCAAGCGCTGCCCCGTGTGGTGAACCACTGAACTGCAAGTAGCGGCTTGTCTCCGTCAGGAGTCATCTGGTGAACCAATCAAGTAAGAAGTATAAATGGGTCCCTTTCGCAGCACTGAGGCCTCCCTGAGGTTTTGTCAAGACATTGAGGAGAACCACAGGACAGAACACCTGTTCCTGCCAGGGAAAAAGGGGTGAGTAAAGATCTATATCAGGAACAAGGGAGGGGATAAAGATCTACATCGGGATCTGCTGATCCCTGGGGATTCTGTCGCCTCATGGGTGGGCCGGCCCTGGGGAAAGGAGGTAGCTCACTGGTAGGGCATCCGTTCTACTTGCAGAAGGTCCCAGATCCCTGATATCTCCAGGGAGGGTTGGGAGACACCCTGGAGAGCTACTGCCAATAGGTGTAGACAATACTGAACTAGATGGACCAATGATGTGGGTCAGTAGAAGGCAACTCCATGTGTTCCCATGACTAGGCCCAAGCTTTGGCTTTTGTTCTGCAGGTCTAGCTTTCCGATTCTGACTGCTCTTTGATTTTGACTTTACAGCTCCTGGTTCCTGGCTCCTAATTCAGTCCACCACACATAGTACAGCCCTGACAAAGTCATATGAGGAAGAAATAAATTGTAAAGGTGTCCTCTCTGCCTTTTGACTTGTGCACTTGAGCACCAGCTATCCACCCTCTGCCCCAACAGACCAGGGCAAAAGCACCCAAGAACACTTACTCCTAAACATGGGACTTTACAGAGCAATGGAGAATAATAATAATAATAATAATAATAATAATAATAGTACTACGAGAGCAGAAATTTAATATTAGGAGCTTGACGCAGCACGAAGGACGAGCTATCAGTCTGACACACATCCCTCCCTTCCATCTGTGAAAAGCTTCTTGAATGTGTGAAGAGGTTATGCAAACGACAACCTTTCACCAAGGTCCCTTTGTAGGAATCTGAATCACAGCCTCTTAACAGAGCAAAAATGCATCAACAGCCAGCCTGGTAGCAGATTGTGGGATAACAAGCATCTAAGAGGTTCTATTTGGACAGAGATGTTTTGTCTGTTGCATGAAAGATTCAAATGCTCCCACCCACCTCGGCTCTTATTACATCTAGCTGAAAATCTAAACACTGGCGTGCAATTTCTGAAATATCCCAATTACCAGTAATTTTTATGCTGAAAAAGTGCTCTCTCTTAGCTGGATCTAGGCAAAAGTGTGAAGTGTGAGAATCTCAGGTCCCCACGTCTTACGCAGTGGGGAATCAAGGGCAGAGTAGCATCTTGTATGCTGATTTACGTCAGGGGTAGCCTAACATGGTGTTCTCTCCAAACAGTTGGACTATAGGTCCCATCATCCTTGATCACTGGCAATGCTGTCTGGGGCTGATGGGAGGTGGAAGCAGTGTTAGAAATTAGCCAGGCGCCAGGTGCATTTTGCGACTGGTGCAGGTCCAATGATGACCATGTGGACATCTCTGGATGCAAGGTTGATGACTGACATCTCTACTCCCCCCCCCCCAAGTAAGCAGAAGAGCTTATTTATTGCATTTATATCCCACCTTTTTCTCCCGGGAGTCCATGGTTCACCCCACTCCTCAGTTATTCCCTACAACGACCCGGTGAGGTAGGTTAAGAGGATGTGACTGACCCAAGGTCACCCACTGAACTTCCTGAGTGAGGATTTGAACCCTGGCCTCCTAGGTCCTAGTCTGACACTCTAACCACTACACCACCCTGGCTTCCTAGAGTTCTTCCGCTATGGGGCAGGCCAATAAATTAAGTAGGTAAATAAATAAGGGGAAAGCAAAATGTCACTGAGAGAAGGATCTGAAAGATGAGGGCAAGTGGCTCACCTGTTTGGTTGGCTTCAGATTATTTGGGTAGCTATGTTGTTGTTCCTAGTGTGAAGAGATCCATTTCGTGGAAAAAAGAGCAACTATATAACCTTTTTGATCTAATTCTAAGGACATACATATGGCAGACAGTGGAAGCAGACCTTTGTTTCGTACATCCTTCCAGTTGTGTGGAAAGCTCTGTCCCAGTGCTTGGGAATGAAGTGGTTTAGATTAACAAAGTTCACCAAATTAATAAAAAAATCTCTGAACTACACCTGAACGTAGTTCCCATACTTGCTGGGTGAAATGAACTTGACGTAAGTTAGTTTTGGGGTGGAACTTTGAATGATTTCTAGTTAATCTTTAAGAGAGAGAGAGAGAGAGAGAGAGAGTATTTATTCTTTAGACTCTTGGGGCTTTCAAGCTTAAAGATCATACCTGCAGGGGGAAATTAATTAACCGATTCACATTCCACTGTGTGTGTGCTTTGATGGGTTTTTAAAAGCCTTCTTAAGTATATTTTATCCTTCAGCACAGCAGCCTGCAACATTCTGAACACTGAATTTTTGTGTGCGCGCCAAGGAACATTTGGGTGAACTCAAAGTGAACTGTGAACTGAACTCTTTCGTTTCGTAAAGGGTCAAACACGAACTGGAATTGGTTCCTTTTCGGACACGCTGAACTTGAACTAGTTCCTTTCAGAAAGGGACTTCCTATGCTAAGCTCGTTCCCAAATGTGGGGCTGTAGATCGATGAATAAGCCATAAAACTGGGGAATAAGGTCTCGTTCTCCCTCAGGTCAAGCTGCAATGGCAGTCTTGGGTGGACATTACCCCAGTGGCGTAGCGTGGGGGGTGCAGGGGGGCCGGCCGCACCGGGCGCAACATCTGGGGGTTAGGGTTAGGGGGCGCAAATCCACGGGTTAGGGGGCGCAAATTACTTGCCTTGCCCCGGGTGCTGACAACCCACGCTACGCCACTGCATTACCCTGCAGGAGCATATATTCCCAAGTGCTTCAAGTACTTTTATTAGCCATTTTATTCTTGCTGTTGGGGTCTGAGCAAAGAGCCCTCCTTCCCCGCCCTGCCGTCATTCCACAAATATCCGTCACACATTTTATTAGCTTTCAGCCTGCTTTCCATAATGATTAAGTGGTGCATGCTTTCAGCTAATACCTTTTTAGGCAGTATAAACAAATGGCCCTATTTGTAATCAATTCTAATTTATTCACACTTTAATTGAAATATCCCTCCTTCCCACCACCCATAGCTGAGAAAACATACACGACCTCATCCATCACGCAGGTGTAAACACCAAAGTGCTGTGCTGGCAATTATCAGAATGCACAACATTCCTGTAATTTCAACTTCTCGATCTAACACGCTGCTTTGGTGGGGGGGGGGGAGAGAAAGTATCAGCCCTGTCAATCAATGCTTGGATTAGGCAGCGGCTCTGAATTCCCGAATAGTCATTATCCCAACCCGTAGAAGCAAACAGCAAGGGTTCTGCATCAATTAATCAGCCATAACTTACATTCCTCCCCAGTGTTTAAGGCTTCTCCCTCGTCGCTACACTGAAGAGATTATAAACTACCCAGGGAACCATTTTAATTCATAATGGCCATGATTCCTCAGTCCCCTGCTAATTTTAGCCTTGATCCTGTCTAAAATCATGGAGTTTCACTCTAGATGGTGAACCCGTCTAGCTAGTTCTGCGACTGCCAGTATTAATGGTCTCGATATTTCAGATTTTAGAAGACAAACCTGAGATCTCTACACCACAACTTGCCAGCTAGTCAAAAGATCTATGAATGACCTTGGGAACTAGAGGTCAGTAGAGTTCAAAATTTGCAGATCTGGTGGTCTTTACTTTTAAGCCTCAGTCTGAAAGAGAGAATCATGTGCAAAAGGTGGGATATAAATGCAATAAATAACATTTATTCTTCTTCTTCTTTATTAGATTGATACTTCATGTTCTCTTCCAAAGGAGTCCAGGGCAACGTACATATCACTAGCAATACAATCAGAAGCTGTAAGAAACAACCTTCTCAAACAGTTTAGAACAACCTTCTGTAAAAGTTTGTAACTCCCGAATACAACTACATACTCTCAGCTAATAATTTCAAGGTTGCCAGGGACAGAACTTTCAGCCATCAAATGCCTAGGTAAAATGGGATGTTTAAAATTTTCCCCTAAAAGTTAATAGTGGGGGAGACTGTATAAATAAAAAGCATGGGACCCTCTTGAAAAATGGTATCCACCTGCCTCTTTCTTTTAGAAGCACGCTCAACTTATACAGGAAATAGATAGTTATGGCAATGGCTTCAGCCGCACATCACAACAGGCCCCTGTTAAATAGCTTGCTGTGAATGATCAGATAGTACCCACCTTATTCATCCCATTGGATTAAAATTATGTCTGGCAATTTGCAGTCAAGGTTTTTCCTGTGCCTCCCAAGGATTTAGTGTGGCTTGTTGCTTCCCCATTTGTGCTAGGGGAAGAGCAAAACGGGAAGACCTGCTTGCTCACAGTAAGCAAATAACCACGGTTTACTGTGACATGTGGAGCAACCTAATGTCACATAGGTTAGGTTAAGACTCAGATCATGATTTACCATGAAGACCAGTTTGGTGGTTACCTTCAGCAAACCTCTTCCTCGCCAAACTGGGTGCCCAAGAGCTCTTGAACATTGTACAGATTTTCTGGTCAAAATGTGAACATTCAGTTCACATGGATTGCTGACGTGGCCTATTGTGTCTCACTATGTGAATGGACGGGGGTCCAGAACACGCCTCACAATCTCCTGGGGCTGCAAGCTGCAGAACAATCAGAAAGTTTGAGGTCTTGTAGGTTGTCTAGGCCAACGTATTTCCTGCTCAGTGGAAGGAAACCAAAGTTAGAGCATTCCCAACAAATGGCTGTCCAGTCTCTGGTTGAGATCTCCACTGATGACGAGCCCACCACGTCTCTAGGTAAGTGGTTCTACTCCTGAACTGCTCTTACCACCAAGAGATTTCTGGCCAACCCAAATCTACACTCCTGTAGCTTAATCCCATTTGATCTAGACCTCTCCTCTTGCGCACCAGAGGACCAGAATTTGCTGTCTTCTATGTAACAGACTTTTGGACATCATAAGATTTGTAGTTCATTGTAGTTCAAGATTTCACTGTCCACAATTGCTGCTCTTGTAGCTCTAGGCTTTAGTGTGAAAGCCACCAAGTTAGAGCAGGCTCTCGGACGTTATCTTGGAAATTCTAACAGCCACCCCTTAATTTTCCTCCAAGATATATCTCAAAAGAGAAGCCAAGGCCAGCAAGGAGTCCAAGTCCGACAAAATGCATTTCACAAGCACCATACTTATTCGGCTGTCGGGTGCAGTGAAGCAGGTTAACATGGCCAGCCGGCTGCCTGCTGTGGCAGTAGGAAACATCCTACTAAAGGTTTTACCTCCCCTCCCCACTGTTTTCTGAGCCAAAAACAAAAAACGGCGGGGGGGGGGGAGGGAGCTGCTGTGGCAAGCACCCAAATCCTTCCAGTTCTCCTTTCCTGAATCTGCACACTCCGTAGGGGAAAAAAGCATATACTATCATCCCGAATGCAGCAACTGGATCAGTTAAAGTGTCGCAACAGCTAAAGTAATTAAATACACATGATACTTCAGGGCAAAACGGCAAGAGTTCTTCCTTATTTTTTCCAGCGTATTAAGTTTCAGCTATTAACCAATCGGGAAGTTTGCAGCATATGAATTCTTAATGCAGATAGTTCAGAACTACCGAAGAGAGAAAGAGCGAGGCGGGGAGACAAAGGGAGAGCGCCCAAAGAGAATCCCCGGTTCTGTTCCACCGAACGCCTTGCTGGCTGCTTTCCATTAAGGTATCTTGGCTTTTAAATAAGCTGTCAAGTAAAACTTGGCACCCGAAACAGAAAAGTGAGTAACGGCTTTTGCAGGAAACCCAACAGCTCAACTGCGTGTCAAGAGAGACGGTCGTCTAGGAGTGAGCTCTAATGCAGCGCACTTGGACAGGCGCCACTGCCATTAAATTGGCCGCGTCTGGATTGAGGATCAGTGCCATTTAGGGATAGCCTTTCACAAAACACACACACACCCTATACAATTGGTAGGAATTTCAAACTTCTTTCCACTCAAGCACTGGTTTTCCGAATTCAGGACGGGGGAAGTTTGGAAGGTGCAAAAACATAATTGGAAAACTCTCTCCGCCCCCCCTCCTGCTTAAAGGGCTAATTGATTTCGCAGGTGTTTAATTATCATTTGCTGTGAGATAATACCTTGTAGTGCCATAAAAAATGGATTTAATTTTCGAGTGCTTGCAGAACCATTGCCAAAGCCAAGTTAGAGCTAAAGCAAGATAATTATTCTATAAATCAAACACACTGCCTCCTTTCTTTGAAATTTTTAATACTTGGCTATAATGATATCTGACGACCTTGAAACCAACATAAAAAGGAGTTTTGTGCCAAGCGCCAAGAGGCAGCCATCAAGAGTATTTCATTCAGTCTGGTTCATTAACATTGGCTCAGCCAGACATTGCACCCTTGATGCAGCCAAGCAAAATAGGCTGAGGTGTTAGCAAAGTGGCAGAAATTATGGAAACGCTGGTCGCCGTGGCCCTTTTGGAACACAGGAAAGCCAACAAACGCGACACAGCCAAGCTGGATTTGCCAAAGGAGCTCTGCAAAATAAGTTTCAACAATAGATTTTGAAAGTGCGGAGGGGGAAAAGACCAATCCTTGCCCATGATGGAGAGCCAGGCTCCTAGAACATGTCTTAGAATCTAGCGCACCAGAATACGAAGAAACCAGATTATGATACAGCTGAAGGTTTAGCTATGCCTTGTTGCCCAGAAAAGAAATGGAGGCAGAACTGGCATGTGATTCTGGATGTATTCTGCAATTGTTGCATCACTTTCATCGTGAACTAGTTGTGATTTTTCAGGAGGTGATCATGATATAAGCCTGATATTATAGGGGGAAGTGCACGGGGTCATGCTAGCATGGATGGAACATGGGAAGTTACATTATACAGAGTCAGACCCATTGGTCCAGTTAGTTCAGCGTAGCCCGCACTGACTGAGAGCAGCAGTCTGGGCTTTCAGACTGGAGCATCTCCGAAGCCAACCTGACAATGGCTGGGATCAGAGCCGTCTTTCCCATTGGGTTTAATGGCGCATTGTGCCAGGGTGCCAGCCTCTCAGGGGCACCCCAGCAAGTGGGGGAGCTGCGCGGCTTTGCCGGCGCCTCCCCTTTCCCTCCTGTACACCCGCCAGCTGTGCCCCATCAATCATATGGCTGGTGGGCATCCAGCTTGCCTCCTAAGCCTCCGTGAGAGGGAGAGATCCCCACAGAGGCTTGGGAAAAGGTCAACAACTCTGGGAAACGGGGGGCGGGGCACCGGAGGGATCTTTGCACCACGGCGCCAGATATGCTTAAGACGGTCCTGGCTGGGATTGAACCTGAGAACTTCTGGATGCAAGGCAAGTGCTCAGCCACTGAGCTACGGACCTTCTCAATGCCGTTCCATACGGCTCAAGGTTTCTCTGTTGGCTTAATCAACACATACAGAGGCATCGGAAGAAGACACCCTGGGGAAATAGGTCATAGTTGTGACTAAGGTCCATTCTGCGACTTACGGATATGGCTTTTGAGTCAACCTAAGGGACATGGGTGTCATTTTGGTGTGGCTCCTCTACTAAACATTGGAGAAGCCTATGGCATTATGAGTCAACCCTTTGTCAACACCATCAAGTTCCCGCAACTGTGGCATGTGGAAGTCACATTTTTTAAAAAAACATGGAAGCAATCTGTAGGTTGGACAACCTGTGCACACAGGGATCTTTGATGTGCATTGTGAGAGTTTCTTCCAGTTCTGAGACCACTGATGGGGTAAGTACTGGACCTTTCTATCCCGTGACAGCCTAGTTGAAAGGGACAAGGGGAGAAGATGGCCCAGTTCCTACTACACCAGGGCTATAATGTCATTGTGCAGATGGGCACTAAGGTATTCTAAATCACATTTACAGCCTCTAATGGCTGTTCAGCTACTCGCCGTGCAGTGCTATGCTATACATAAAAATACTCCGATATAGAAGCCATTAAAGTCAAGCTCGGCTCTACTTAGTGAAATATGCTTTAATGATTTCATCGGACAGAAGCATCTTCAGTGAATAGACAAGCCCTATTTCGGATAAATCTATGTCGCATGTCTTCGTGCAGACACATCACGGACCTGACAAATGCATCAAGTTTTATTTCCCACAGGAGGGGTCATGGGATCTAAAACTCATTACTCTTCGACTAATATTAAAAGGAGAGATTTCTCACTTGCTAATACTTTGCTTCACTTTTGGAGACGTTGATGGGTTTTAGGGCAGGACTTCCATATAACTATGCACATCCGAAAGAACAATACTGCATGCTTGATGTAACTATCCATGGGATTAAAGATGCTTACTACCCTCGTCCCGTCTAGGGGTGAAACGTCTGGCTCAAAGAAGCCCAACTCAGAAGCATGGCTAGCCTGAGCTGTTAGAAGCCCAGAATTAAGTTGGGACAAGGAAGATGTCATTCTTAGATGGAATCATATTCCATTTTGCCAGTTTCTGCTGTCAACCGAACCGAAGAACGAAATAAAAACGAGCCTCAAAAATGTCTGGAAGCGGTTGATCAGCTTCATTCCTTCATCAGCAGAGGTCAGCCTTCCAGATGTTGCTGGTCTCCCATTTTCCACCAGCATTGGAATGATCAATGTTCCATTGTAGCCCAACAAAATCTGCAGGGTACCAGAAGGCTACCGTAGATGATACTACACTTCTTTTAAAACAAGATGTCCAAATGCAACACAGTCTCTAGATTTGGCAACACCAGCGCAGAGTTATTCTTGGGATCACAGGATGGATCAAAGGACCATAGCAGTGCAACCCCCTGCTGGGGCAGGCCACCCACACACCCAGCCACCCATGTGATCCATATGTGATATTTGTGTCACAAGCAGAGAGGAGGCGCACACAAAGAGGTGCTTCCACGTAGCAAACAACTCAAAGCCACATGCAATGGGAAAAGGCAGAAGAGGACCCTTCCTCCAACAATCATCAGCCAAGAAAAAAAATCCCACCCATCCTCAAACACAAATGCAGAAAATGAGATGGATCCTGAGTCTTGGGTTCACGCCATACCACACAAAAAATCTGGTCTGTGGTAAAGGCAAGTTTTCTCAGATGTCCTGGTACATGTGGGAAAGGAAAACCAAGTTCATATGAGGTGGCATGGTGGGACTTTTCCCAACCATCAGAGGTCCTTTGTTCGTGCTAATTATAGTACAAAACAAAATTGGATTTTTTAATTTTATTTTTTTTGAGGGGTGGTGAGTTGGGAAAACAATTCCACAGATCTTGGAGGGGAAGCTGTGGGCCACTGAACAAGCTTTTTTTTGCTCGTACACAAAATATCTGCATTAATTGATGCTTGACCACATCTGCATCCAGAATATTTGGTTTGCTCCGTTGCATCAGGCTGCGAGGTGCTGAAACGCAGCCCCAGTCTTCCCGCCCGCTGACTTCCTCCAGCAGCGAAGAAGCCAGCACCCCGCAGGATCAAACCACTTTCCTTTTAGCATTCTTCCCGCGCTGCTAGAATGTGCTAAGTCCATTTGTGAGCTAATACATTATTTACACAAGTTATTCAGGCATAGCAGCCAGGATATGAAACATTTATCAACAAAGGGTCCAGTTTGTCATTTAAAAATAATTATGTTTCTTTAGGAGAAACTAACAAATTCTGTTGGCCTAGAATTATTTATTACACAACTTCGCCGGCACAAAGGGATGCTCTGTTTTAAGACGCCGGTAATTTTGAAGCAGGGAAGGCAGCCTGTCTCGGGAGAACTTTCTGGTGGTTTGTAAGCATTCTATCAAGGTGAGGCCCTCATTGGTCACCTGTCCAGGTAGGCAGCCTACAGGAATCCCTTAAAAAGAGACCCTGCTCTTCCTTTCCCTGCAGTTGTACAATTTGGCCAATAGGTGGTGCAGTTCCACGTTACCATTCCACCCAACAAACCATCTCTTTGGGTTGTCTTTTTTTTAATCGAAACATACAGAGTTGTTATGGTTTATTTATCTCTTTTGGCTGCCTGATGGAAAACTCACAGTACAGACCTGGGGAAGGTTCGTTGGGACTGACTTGCCCTTCCAGCATTTGCTGCTCAGCAATAATAATAATAATAATAATAATAATAATAATAATAATAATAATTTTTATACTCCACCCTCCCCAGCCAGAGCTGGGCTCAGGGCAGCTAACACCAATAAAATCACAGTAAAAACATAATAGAGGAAGGGAAGGGGAAAAAAAACAATTTAAAATACAGGTTAAAATGCAATTTAAAATGCAGGCAGCCTCATTTTAAAAGTTGCCGATAGATCAAGACCATAAGGGGAGGGAAACATAAGGGTCAGACTGAGTCCAAACCAAAGGCCAGGCGGAACAGCTCTGTCCTGCAGGCCCTGCAAAAAGATGTCAAGTCCCGCACGGCCCTAGTCTCTTGTGACAGAGTGTTCCACCAAGTCAGGGCCAGTACTGAAAAGGCCCTGGCCCTAGTTGAGACCAATCTAACCACCTTGTGACCTGGGACCTCCAAAATGTTGTCATTTGTAGACCTTAAGGTCCTCCGTGGGGCATACCAGGAGAGGCAGTCCCATAGGTACGTGGGTCCTAGGCCACAAAAACAAGAAAGGTGATTAAATGGAAGTCTAGCAGAAATCACTGTGCTGACGGGTTGTGTTAGTTGGATAACATCCATCCTCTGTAGCGATTGTATGCATGAAGATAGATATAGATATAAACCCCGCAATAATGCAGCAAATTATTTCCCCCCGGTATGGATCTTTAAGTAGCCAGAACAGCACTATCCAAACACTGAGATAGCTCAGTCGGAAGAGCACAAGACTTAATCTCAGGGTTGTGGGTTCAAGTCCCACATCGGACAAAAGATTCCTGCATTGCGGGAAGTAGGACTGTTTGATTCTTTCCAGCTCTGTAATTCTATGATTCTACACAAGCACTAGCAAGTGTTGGAGGAACCTCAGGTTTGCAGAAGTATTTTTAAGTTAAAAAACAAATAAATAGAAAATGAACCTGAATGGGGGGGGGAGGGGAGTCTCCACATAGTCCAGTAAGGACAGAACCATCTCAGCGGGCACAGAATACACACTCTAGGGTGTGTGTGTGGGGGGGTGAGGGCAGACAGAATGGAGTATCACGCAACAGGGCTTGGTAAGTAGCAGCACGCTCCGTGCCGCAACATTTTGTTGCGGGCCCTGCTTGTTATTACACAAAAGCAAATCAACCCATCATTTGTCCCTAAGGAGTTTAGCAGAAGCCTGTAGAGGGGACACACACACACACACACACACACCCCGCCCGCTGCCCAAACAAAGCTTAATTTGCTGTCTGAGCTGTCAAGCTCAAGCAGTTTTAGTTTTTAAACTTCAGCAGAAGCGGTGACTCTGTCCCTCACATCTTCTCATCCGCCGCTGCCGTTTCCTAGCTTCTATTCTTTCTTCCGCCTTGACAGCGACAGCAGACGCGGAACATTCTGGTAGCCTCCCCTTTCTCAACAGCATTCTCGGGAACGGGGTAATTACTTCGCCAACTCATTCCCAAAATCGGCGGGGGGGGGAGAGGAAGGAGAGAGAGGGGAGCAGAACTGTCTCCTTATCAGTGAGCATTCTGGTAAATTCAAAGCAAACCCTCTGAAGTGGCGTATATACGAACACCCTCCCTGATCCAGCACCTTCAAGGCCTGTCTATTTCCGCCTGTCAAAACACTTCGGAAAGTGGTGGCTGAGTGAAGCGTTTGGCACCAGTCTGGCGGAGACGCTATATGGCAGATGAGTGTCATCCCTATTCTCTGGGAAACTGCTCAGCTCACAACCTTTAACGCTTAAGGGGGGGGAAAAACCCTTTTATTTTTTAAAAAACACTTTTCGTTTAAACGCACGGACGGCTTTTGCACACAGCTGCAAATGCCACGGAGACAGGCGCTGAGCTTCCCTCTCTGTCTTTGCAACTCAGGCCTCATTCCAAGGACCGGTTGCTTAGCAGAACCGGGCCCCTGTGCCCTTTTCAACCCGATGCAAACATCTGACTTAACGTGTCGATTTTTGGTCATTGTTGGCAGAGAGAGAGAGAAAGAAAGGGGGGCGCTCAGAAAAATTGTGGGAGAAATTACCAAAAGTTCAGGCAACAAAGGATGAAGCCAGGTCTCAGTGCCGATATCTGAATTTACTCTGGGGAAACATGGGAATGGAATAATCATCTGGTTGCACTTGTACTCCTCTATACAAGAGGACACCCCCCAGGTCCTTGTGTCTGCCTATATAATATTTCCAGAGAGTAATCTCTTGATAATGGCTCTGTTGACCAACGTGGGTCAAAGAGAAGGGAAATTCATAGAAGAAGAGGAAGAGTTTGGATTTGATATCCCGCTTTATCACTACCCGAAGAAGTCTCAAAGCGGCTAACATTCTCCTTTCCCTTCCTCCCCCACAACAAACACTCTGTGAGGTGAGTGGGGCTGAGAGACTTCAGAGAAGTGTGACCCAAGGTCACCCAGCAGCTGCACATGGAGGAGCGGGGAATCGAACCCGGTTCACCAGATTATGAGTCCACCGCTCTTAACCACTACACCACACTGGCACACCACACTACACCCACACAAATACCACTTCAAATACCTGACTCCCCTAGGAATGATAGTCACTAAGAAACTGGAATTCAGTAGTACCCTTTTTTGACAAGACCAGTCTGCACACCAAGCGAAGGGCCAGTGCTGTGAATTCTGGAGGCTGCCCCCAGTTCAAATCTCAACTCAGCCATTAGGTCACTCTCTTGGCCTCAGCTCTCCCATCTGTGATTTGGGTACAGTAGCACTGGCCTTCCTTGCAGGGCCGTTGTGAGGATTGCAACAATGAAATGTGAATGTGCGCAAAGGGCTTTGAACACCCCGAAAGCCAAGTGTCACTACTGTTATTAACCTGGCTAAACTCATCATATCAAAACCTTTTGTCTCAACCCTTTTCCTTCCAGATCTACTCGCTTTCTGGACAGTCACCACATGGTGGCAGTGTAGGCCAGGTTTGCCCAACCAGGTGGACTACAACTCCCATCAGCCAGGGCCAGCACACCACGCTGGTGGTTGGAGAGTTGGGAGTTGTACTCCAAAACATCTGAAAGGGAGCAGGGCTGGAGCAGGTTGTGGGGGCATATGCAGAGCAGAAGCCACCGGGGGCCGTGCTTTTATCTGACACCTGGAAGGTATATTCGTGGAAAGCACAGGGTCCCACTTTCAGAAATCTCACAGTGATTTTGCAAAGGAGGCTAGGAGTCAGAAGAAAGAAGAGCGTTGAATTTGGGGTTATGCACAAGGCAAGGAAGCCAAATGACTGGATAGCTCAGTTGGTTGAAGCGTGGTTGCAAGTTGGATCCTAGCTGCATACAGTCATACCTTGGGTTACAGCCGCTTCAGGTTGTGTTTTTTCTGGTTGCGGACCGCTGAAACCTGGAAGTACCGGAACGGGTTACTTCTGGGATTTGGCAGTTGCGTATGTGCAGAAGCGCTAAATCGTGCTTTGCGCATAAGCACCGAATCGCAACCCGCGCATGCGCAGACCCGGGTTGTGAACGCTGTGGGTTGCGAACGTGCATCCCGCAAGGATGACGTTTGCAACCTGAGCATCCACTGTATTCCTGCATTTCCAACTCTACAGTCCTATGATTCTGTGACTGCTGAAGTCCTGGCACAGTTTCTCCCCACCCCACGACTCAGAGCCTTTACTGAGAAGGAACTGGCTCACCCCGAAGGTAGCAACCAAACTGGGGAACCATACTGAGACGAGTGTTCAGCTGCTGACCAGATGAACAGATCTGAGCACAGGTGCAAATGTCTCCATGCAATCTGCATAGGAATACACATAAGAACACAAGAAAAGCCTTACTGCGTAAGGCTGAGGTCCATTTGGTCCAGCATTCTGTTTTCACAGGGGCCAACCAGATACCTATAGGAAATTCTGCAAGCAGGACCTGATTGAAGCAGCCCTCTCTCGAACTGAGACTCCCAGCCACTGATAGCTTCACCATCCATGCATTTGTCTAGTCCTCTTTCAAAGCCATCCAAGTTGGGGGCCATCGGTACCTCTTGCAGGCTTGGATTCTAGTTTAACTATGCACTGCATGAAGGAAGTCCTTATTCTGCCTGTTCTGAATCTTCCAACATTCAATTTCATCACCACCATCGTGCTAAGATATAACTTTGGGGCGTTTCCGCATGGAAACAACATCAGAGTTCTACTATTATGAGAGGGGACTTTACGTAAGTTAGCTGCCTTCTGTCGCAACTAACACACAATGCCTCCAAACAGGAGGGAGAAGTATTAGAAACTCAGATATATAAGCCGGGCAACAAATGGTTTATTAAACCATGGTTACAGCTTCTTAAACCAGGGTTATATGGCTTGAAAGTTGAATGTCTCAATATGGCTTTTTGGTTCCGGAAATCCATTCTGATTGTGCAGATAAAACATAAGGGATAGGATTCTGTTGGATGTGTTGCTAGCGTGTGAAAACAGGCAAGATCCAAGGATCCCCAGGCATGCGCCTCCAGATGGTGGAGACATCAGGCACTGTCCTGGCACCCGGGTATCTTCCCTCGGTCGCAAGTGGCCGATAGCCAGGTGCAAAATGCGCTTGGCAAATTTCGAATACTGGAAGGGAGCGTATAAAAATCTCACAGTCTGACTTCAGCTATTTCAGGATTTGTTATTTGCTTTTCCAAAGCGTAGAGAGAGGAGTAATTTATGCATGAGACCCATAGGTAGGTCGAAAGTAGTCTATGACTAAAGCACTAAAGCAATAACCATAAAGTCTCTGTTCCCATTAAGTCATTGGCACCTACTTGGGTCTACGCTGTGCCTACAGTCTCGTTAATTCCCTATTTCTCCAGGACCTGGCATAGGGGTAAAGTTAATTTAAGCAGGAGAAAGGCAATTAGCTCTTACATTGCATTTAAATTGAAAATCATTTCTTCCCCATCTTTGAACACACTTTTTGTTCTTGAAATCTAAATCCCCCAATTCCTAAGCTGATATTAATCAAGCCATGTTTTTCTGAAAGTGTCGAGGTCACTAATGAATACACAAATCCTTACTTCTGGGCATGTCGATCTTTTTCGGCTGCATTGTTCCAGCATTTGCGGGTTACTGAGCCTACCAAGTTAAAGAAGTAAGGAAGGGGGAGGGAGTCAACTTTTACGTTACTTATTATGTGATTAGAAGCTATTTAGCCCAATAAGGCTCAAGCTTTTACTCAAACAAATTAGCAGATGCAAACAAAATGTTTTGTGTCAACACGCTTGTCATTCTAAGGACGGAACTAGCAGGTCATAGCGGGAGGGTGGTTGGGTCTGGATGCAAAAGCCAAGACTCAAACCACTCAACCACTCAGCCCATTTAGTAGCCTGTGTGGTGGAAACTGATTGGACTTCTTTTGGCATAGCATAGAAGCTGCAAACAATATGTGTCAATTACAACTTAAAGGTAAAGGTAAAGGGACCCCTGACCATTAGGTCTAGTCGTGGCCGACTCTGGGGTTGCGGCGCTCATCTCGCTTTATTGGCCGAGGGAGCCGGCGTACAGCTTCCGGATCATGTGACAAGCATGACTAAGCCACTTCTGACGAACCAGAGCAGCGCACGGAAACGCCGTTTACCTTCCCGCCGGAGTGGTACCTATTTATCTACTTGCACTGTGATGTGCTTTCGAACTGCTAGGTTGGCAGGAGCTGGGACAGAGCAACGGGAGCTCACCCCGTCGCGGGGATTTGAACCGCCGACCTTCTGATCGGCAAGTCCTAGGCTCTGTGGTTTAACCCACAGCGCCACCCGCGTCCCAATTACAACTAAGGCATGCACATATAAAAATGATAGAGAGT